ACAGCCTGAACCAAAATCAAGAGTCAGACACTTAACTGAATGAGCCAGCCAGGTGCCCCCTCACTAAACATTTCTTAAATGAACATCTGCCAGATCCATGAAATCAAAGTGCAGATAAGTGGGACTTAAATTTGCATGTGTAATTTTTCTTAGAGAACTTGTAGTCCTGTGTAATGGCTTTGTCAGAATAGGCAACTAATAAAAATGGAATACTTTGCAAATAAATTGCCAGTAATAATAATTATCTTATTTTGTATAAAAATAAAACAGTCAGGGGCGCCTGGGTGGCTCAATCGTTAAGCATCTGCCTTTGGCTCAGGTCATGATCCCGGGGTCATGGGATCGAGCCCTGCATCGGACTCCTGGCTCAGGGGAAAGCTGCTTCTCCCTCTCCCACTCCCCCTGCTTGTGTTCCTTCTCTCTCGGTCTCTGTCAAATAAATAAAATCTTAAAAAAAAAAAAAAGTCAATGTTAAAAAAAACACAACAATCCTAGTTTTAAAATTGATAACAGTAAACCCTTGATCTCCAGGATTTCTTATCCCTTGCAGGGATGTGACCTAGTCAATATCACAATATAATACCTATTTAATAGAATTCCGTATTTGTACCACGGGCAATAAAAAAGTAAGATGAAAGTAACTGACTCCCCATGATAATTGGAAACACGAATCAGTCCTTCAGATACAGTTTGGATAATACATTTATGCATGATTCTAAATGCTTTATGAAAACCAAATCAAAAGCTCTCCACCTATACTCTTCCATCTATAGAGTTCCATCTACTATCAGGTGATTTCAGGGATGATTTATGAGTAGAAACTTTGAGTCTCCAGGCGAAACAAGAATAAAGCCACAGATGACTTTACAGAGTAAACCCAAATTGGGAACTACTAGAAGAGAAAATTAGAAATACTATATATTTTGAAAAACAAAACAAAACAAGACCAGGAAATACTATATATTTTGATACGTAGTCCTAAGTTGTTTGGCTTTTTGAACAACTTTACACTTGATATTACAATCAACAGGACAAGAGAAAAGTCATCATTTGATAAGGACAGAGAATCCAATTCAGAAAGAAAACACCAACAAAACCCACCCAGAAGCATATGAAGTACATTTAGAGCTTTAAGCTAGCACAGATGTTACTTTCTATCAGGTTCCTTGTCCTACCTACCAGGACCATAATGATCTTGTCTGCATGAGGATTCAGCCAAGACACTCCCACATTTCTATGTTGACCGGGAACTATGCAAACTGTAGAAAAAACAATTGTAAAGCCAAGTCAACAAAACACTAACTGGTTTATTCCAAGTTTTAAAAGCATTAGCATTCTAGGGGCACCTGGGTGGCTGAGTCGTTAAGCATCTGCCTTGGGCTCAGATCATGATCCCAGGGTCCTGGGATCGAGCCCCGCGTCGGGCTCCCTGCTCCACGGGAAGCCTGCTTCTCCCTCTCCCACTCCCCCTGCTTGTGTTCCCTCTCTTGCTCTCTCTCTCTGTCAAATAAATAAATCTTTTTTAAAAAAGGCATTAGCATTCTAAAAAATAAAACAAAGCATATTTATTCAGCAAGATGATCCTGAAACTTCACAGTAAACCTACCTACCAGAAATTATGGAAGGAAATGTTACCAGATGAATTGCTAAATAGCAACTGCCTACTTTACTATCTGTATCATCAGATGTTTCTTACTAACAGATGACTGAATAATATCCAGTTCTTTGGCAGAGAATGTGGAGGTTCAGAAGACTGCAAATTCTAGAACCACCTCTACTATAGTATAAATATGGGCATTTCTCTTAGCCATAGTCATATCACAGCAGTTTTAACTACAAACTTATGGTAAATAAAAATGTTGTATGATTTTAAAAAACTATAAAGTATATGTAATTTAAAGTATTATGTGTATATTAAGAAATAATCTTGTTACAATCAAATTTTCATGTTTATAAATGAGTCTATAGGCCTGTGTTCAAACAAGGAAAGTCTTGAACTGACCTTCATATTATACAATAACCAATTTTTAGAATTCCAAATATACAGCCTGTATAGAAGATGCCCTAACCTCTCTTTTCTGCAAGTTATCAATAGGATGCACTTTCAGAACCTCAGACAAAAATTAATCCTAACTTTATGGATATTATCAGAGGAAATTCCTTCAGTGTATGGACCCACCAGAGTGTGACATACAAATAGAGGGAAAATTTGCACCAGAAATACAGTAAGCCACCAGAGGGAAGGGGTTGGAGGGTTAGGCAAAACAGGTGAAGGGGAATAGGAGATGCAGGCTTCTAGCTGTGTAATTGATGTGGGAAACAAAGGCAAAATAAAAAAATTAAATTTCCTTACTATTTAAAGCCCAATGACAAGTCCTTGGAACAGGCAGAGTGATGTTCCTCTAGGAACTCAGCTGCCTTGATGTTAGTACTTTGGTAAGGGCAAAAGGAAACCTTAGCCCGACCCCCCGGAATCCTGTGGTCTATTTTAATATATAAAAATTCCTTTGGAAACTTTTTATCTCTACTTCCCCACCAAGATATATGTTGGCAATCATCCCCCAAGCATATGGCCCACTGATATACATCTGAAGGGTCTCATGACTAAGGGTTTACTAGACAGTAATAAATGACCTTTTCCTAATAATAGCTAGCCCCCTCAAGCTCCTGGAAACCTTGCTTCCAAAATTCCTTAGAGACTTAAGCTATCCCTAACCCCCTCCCAACTTGAAAGTATATAATTGGCCACACCTCACAACCCCAGGGCAGCTTTTTCTGGCCACAGGTCCTGTCCCATGCTTTAATTAAACCACCTTTTTGCACCGAAGATGTCTCAAGAATTCTTTCTTGGCCGTCGGCTCTTAACCCCAACATTTCCCTACATCAGGATGAATAAATCATTGGAATAAAAGGGACTTAGGGAGTAAGTTAATGCATAGAAAATACAATGATACTGTAATAGCATTTTACACGGTAGCTACACTTGTGGTGAGCATAGCAGAACCTATAGAGGTGAATCACTATGTTGTACAACTGAAACTAATATAACACTGTGAATCAACTCTACTCAAAAAAAAGGGGGGGTAAGCTAAAATCACGCTAACACACGCTGTGTCTATAATTTTTTTTTTTAAGATTTTATTTATTTATTTGAGAGAGAGAGAATGAGAGACAGAGAGCAGGAGAGGGAGAAGCAGACTCCCCGCCGAGCAGGGAGCCCGATGCGGGACTCGATCCCAGGACTCCAGGATCATGACCTGAGCCGAAGGCAGTCGCTTAACCAACTGAGCCACCCAGGCGCCCCCACACGCTGTGTCTAAAAAGATTTTCAGCGCTCATTAACAAATCAGCATGTTCCCTCTAGCCACAGAATTCATAAACAGAAGCTACACAACTGGAGGGAAAAAAAAAAAGGAAGGGGACATCAGGACAAAGACCTCGAGAAATGGAGAGGGAAGATGTACAAAGTTTTTAAAGAAACATTAAATTCAGGGGTGCTTGGGTGGCTCAGTCGTTAAGCATCTGCCCTCGGCTCAGGTCATGAACCCAGGGTCCTGGGATCGAGCCCCGCATCGGGCTCCCTGCTCCGCGGGAAGCCTGCTTCTCCCTCTCCCACTCCCCCTGCCTGTGTTCCCTCTCTGTCTCTGTCAAATAAATAAAATCTTAAAAAAAAAAAAACACCTTAAATTCAATTTGAAATGTAGGATAACGCATAGCAGAGCTTCAGTCACAAGTTTCCTAGGCACTGTCTTGGCACCCTGAATTCCCGATCGTCCTCAATGACTAACTCTCACAGAATGAAGGCATAATCACAGAGCTCCTCCTCTGAAAAAGAACACTTTTGAATACCCCTTTTCACAAATGTGCTCAGGAAAAAACAAAACAAAACAAAAAACAAAGCACCAAAAGGCCGAAGTTCCAACTGTATGCAACTTGCACAAAAAGGGGCCGCGGACGAGACAGGTATCAATAAATGGGAATCCGGGGCCGTTTTGGGCGGGCAGCGTCGGACACACGGGACAGAACGGGGCCGAGGGCCTGACCCCAGAGCTCTCTCCTCGTGGCCCTGCCGCCTTTCCCACCCCAGGTGACAACACTTTTCTCCTCGTCGGAGCCTCTCCGACCCCAGCTGACAGGACTTTTCTCGGACGCCCGCACGCGCTCCCCAAACGAGGCTGCCAGCCTCACCGCCAACCACCGCCCTCGGAAAAGTGCTCCACGGCCTCATCAAAAAGTGTTGAGCCTGGCAAGTCCGTTGAATGCTTCATCCCTTACAGAATTAGCCAGAGTTAGAAGCTAGGAGAGGGGGCGCCTGGGTGGCTCAGTTGGTTAAGCGACTGCCTTCGGCTCGGGTCATGATCCTGGAGTCCCGGGATCGAGTCCCGCATCGGGCTCCCTGCTCGGCAGGAAGCCTGCTTCTCCCTCTGACCCTCTTCCCTCTCATGCTCTCTCTCATTCTCTCTCTCTCTCAAATAAATAAAATCTTTAAAAAAAAGAAGAAGAAGCTAGGAGAGGGAGAAGGAAACCAAAAGAGTCAGGGCAGCTTCGGGAGAGGACGAGGCGGAGCACGGCGGCCTCGGCCACGCTGGCTGCGGCGCGAGGCCAAGGGGTGGACGCGATGGCAAGGAGGGGGAAACGCTGCAAAGCCGGCGCGGGGTGACGCACCGACGCCCGCGGCGGGGCGGACGGAACCCCAGGGAAGCAAGCCTCCTGAGGCTTGGGCGCACCGACCGTCGCGCCGCCGGAAACGCCCGGCCTGCAGGACGCCGCGCCGCCGCCCCGTGCGGGCCCGTTTCGAACCCGCGCCCGCCAGTCTGCCCAGCCGCGTCCCCGCTGCCCGCACACTCACCGCGCGCGCGCGCCGCCCCGGCGCGGCCGCCCGCCGCCCTCAGCCCTGGGAGCGCTCTCTGCCCCGCCCCCGTGCCCGGCCCGCGGACCGGGCCCCTTGCGGCGGCGGCGTCGGGGCTACGTCACGGGCGCGTGCGCTCTCAGGCGCACGGGCAACGGCCGGGACGGAACGTTACAAGCTGGGCGTGCTGGTTTCCTTAGAAACGGAGCCGGGCCGGGGAGGCGGTGGAGAAACGTCGACTGCAGTGGGGCCCCTGGTGAAGCCAGGATGCCGTCTAAGGGAAAGGACAAAAAGAAAGGCAAGAGTAAAGGCAAAGACAAAGACAAGAAGTAAGGAGAAGCCACGCTGGGGTCCCCTCTCCCCGGGCCTACCCTCTGGGGATTCGGGGCTGGGAACCGGCGGGACGCTGGGGCTGGCCGGCTGGCTAACTGCCCTCCTCTTGCTCTCCTGGATTCTGAAAAGGACAGCCTCATTGTTCAAAAATTCCCAAAATGCATGCGAACCGTACTGCTCCAACCTAAACAACGGAGTGTGAGTTTTGGGACCCTGAATAATTTAGACACAGCCCCTGCCTATGTGTAATGCATTAACAATGGAGGCAGATAAGTTCCCAAAGAATAAAATACAGGACCAAATGAAATAGGGGCTAGTGAAAAAACCAAAGCACTGGGAATGAGGAGGAAGAGTTAGTTCTGACACTAGAAGTGAAGATCAGAAGGTCAGGATAACATTTCTTGGTATACTGAAGGTCCTCTAGACCAGCGCTGTCCAATAGGGTAGTGACCAGCCATGTGTGGCTCTTAAAATTTAAAAATCACATCTTCTGTTGTATTAGCCACATTTCATATGTTCAATAGGCACATGTGGCTACTGGTGACTGTATTGGACAGCCTAGGGATAGTACATTAACATCACCACAGAAAGTTCTGTTGGACAGTACTGCTCCAGACCGGTGGTTCTCAACTCGGGGCGATTTTGGCTTCCAGGGGACATTTGGCACTATCTAGAGACATTTTTGGTTCTCATCGGGGGATGTGTGCTACTGGCATCTAGTGGGTGGAGACCAAGGATACTGTTAAACATCCTGCAATGCACAGGACACCCCCCACCTGCTCTCCAAACAAAGAATTATTTGGCTCAGGATATCAGTAGTGCCAGGGTTGGAAACCCCTGCTCAAGACTACAAGCTTCTCGGGGCGCCTGGGTGGCTCAGTCGTTAAGCGTCTGCCTTCGGCTCAGGTCATGATCCCAGGGTCCTGGGATCGAGCCCCACGTCGGGCTCCCTGCTCGGCGGGAAGCCTGCTTCTCCCTCTCTCACTCCCCCTGCTTGTGTTCCCTCTCTCGCTGTGCCTCTCTCTGTCAAATAAATAAAATCTTAAAAAAAAAGACTACAAGCTTCTCTAGAGTAGGCACTAAGCATTATTCTCCATATCTCCAGCACCTAGCAGAGACCCTGGATCATGGTGGATGCTTATTATTTGTTAAATAAACAAATTAAGGTGTCCATGTATGCTTCAACTTGAATCTTCTCTTTTTTCAATGGGAACTATGCTCTGGGTTTCATTCTCCCCCCGCCCCCGCCCCCCACCTGAGAGATCTCTGTGATGTAGTTGAGAATATCTTGAACATCTAGAGAATTTCTGGGTGATTGAAGAAGTAGTTCGTTGGGCGTTTTGAAGGATTCCTTTTGGTTCAAAGGAAAACGTAAAAGATTTGAACGAATTGGTAATTGTTCACGTTTCCCCAAGCTGGTCAGAACCCCTAAAGTAGGCATTGCTGTAGCACTAACCCTTTGCATGGAGTTGCTGCTAGATTGCCACTAAATCTATTGGGTGACTCTAGTGGTTTGTTGGAATCATACATGGTGTCCAGCATCAATCACTATATATGAGACCAAAAGGGAATCCCCCAAACTTGTAAGGTTTATAAAGTAACTTGTTTAAGAGAGCAATACATGCTCAGTACAGAAGGTTTAGGAAACATGGAAGTCAAAGTAGAAAACAAAAATCACCTGTAATCCCATCATCCAAATGTAACTACTACTATCATTTGGGGATTTTCTTTTTCTTCTTCATAAAATGATAGCCCAGGGTACATATTTATTTGTAGCCCCCCCCCATGTATTAATATAAGTATTCTTCTGCAGTGTAACTTTTTTCTTTCTTTTTTACATAATTGCATAAACACTTTTTTTAAATTTTATTATTATTTTTTTAAAGATTTTATTTATTTATTTGACAGAGAGAGACACAGCGAGAGGGGGAACACAAGCAGGGGGAGTGGGAGAGGGAGAAGCAGGCTCCCTGCAGAGCAGGGAGCCCGATGCGGGACTCGATCCCAGGACCCTGGGATCATGACCTGAGCTGAAGGCAGTCGCTTAACCAACTGAGCCACCCAGGCGCCCTGCATAAACACTTTTTAGAAAAGATTTTATTTATTTGAGAAGGAGAGAGGGGGGCAGAGGGAGAGGGAGAGAGAGAATCCTTGAGCAGACTCCCCACTGAGCACAGAGCCCTGACGCAGGGCTGAATCCCAGGACCCTGAGATGATGGCCTGAGCCAAAGTGAGATCATGAGCTGAGCTGAGGTTAGACACTTAACCAACGGAGCCGCCCAGGTGCCCCAGTCTTGCACTTTTTAAAAGTGCCAAGGGCTTGTCACATTCTTGGAACTCACTAGCATAAGTTTTCTATTTTTGACCGTGCATCTACAGTACATATATCAACAAGGAGGAACACTGAGGGTAACAGACCTTGTATTCCTTGGATTTTCCATGACTCATAGTTTGAGAAACGCCGCTTTGTTTTTCAGTCAGTATTAGTGGTTTTATGAGAAATCCTAGCTGCCATCAACTGTTCTGAGCAGCTTAGACCTGATACCTTCAGGGAGTAATTGGATGATTATAGCAAGGCAGCCTGTCACTACTGCCTAAATCATGCTGGAAAGGGAGGTCAAAGCAATAACAGGCTAGAGGGTTGGAGGTGGGGCTGGCATTAATTTGAAGAGAACAGAAGGGAAAGGGATGGAGAACCAGAAGTTGGTGGGGATGGAGGGTAGATAGTACAGAAAGATCCACACATAATCTATGTGTGAAAATATTTAGAGTTCAAATGCAGGTAAAGTCTTACTTATTATCTAAATATTTATGCATCCAGTGCCTACCACATATAAGGGGCATTGTTTTGTTAATCTTCATACCATAAATCTTTATTTTGTTGTTTGTTTTTTAAAGATTTTTAATTATTTAACAGAGAGAGAGCATAAGTAGGCAGAGTGGCAGACAGAGGGAGAGGGAGAAGCAGGCTCTCCGCCGAACAGGGAGCCCGATGCGGGGCTCGATCCCAAGATCCTGGGATCATGACCTGAGCCGAAGGCAGGCGCTTAACCGACTGAACCACCCAGGCGCCCCTAAATCTTTATTTTGAAAAACTCTTCTTTTATCACTTCAATCTTTGAAGCCATGCTTTATTATTATTATTTTAAATTTTTCTTTTTACTTCTGTATAAGTGATTATGGTTCGTTTCTCAGCTGTCCTTGAAGCCTGATGCATTGTGGCACCAGCTAATAAAGTATTTAACATACTTGTCCTTGTGACTTGATCTTTTGTCCAAGGTCTAGCCAGAAATCCGCCCCCCGAAAAACAACCTAAAACAAAACCAAAACTGGGGTTGGAGTATGTGGAAGATTACAGAATGATGGACTTACAGTTACACTACAAATGTATTATCATGCAGAGGGGGAACTAAGGTAATGGATTTGCAGGAGTGAGAACCAAGGTCTAAAACTGAGTGGGTAGGAATAGAAATGACAGTTTCAAATACGAGAAAAAGAGGTAAATGAAAAGATGTGAAAGATTTATGAAATGAATTTGACTTACGCCTTTCCTCTTCTGAGAAGAGTCACCCACTTAACTCCCTTATCATAAATATGTATTTATTAACTCATTCATCCAACAATATTTGCTCATATGTGCCAGGCAATGCCAACCAAAACAAATAGTAGTAAAGAGAAAGGTATAATTCTAATATAGTAGAGAAATAGTTATATGCTGTCAATGTCCTCTTCCCATGCAGGAAGATAATAAAAGCTGATGAATCTACAGTGGACAGAGCCAAGGCCAATGCCTCCCTTTGGGAGGCCAGGCTGGAAGTCACAGAACTCTCTAGGATTGAGTATCGTGATACTTCCCGGAGACTGGCAAAAAGTAATGAGGACTTAAAGAAACAGCAGTATAAAATGGAGAAAGATACAATGTCTGTATTAAGTTATCTGAAGAAGCAGGATCAGGAGAAAGATAATATGGTAGGTAGGTAGAAACCCTCCCGAGTCTCAATAACTACCTCTGTCATACTTGAAGCAGGACGTTATTGCTGAATGGCTTTACTATTAGAATTGGCTCTTTTATTTTCAGACCTTGTCCCATTGTTTTCTTGTCTGAAACAGAGATTGATGGTCATATGGGAACATTATGGTCCATTTTATTTTAAGAAGAGCATAGTATATGACCTGTCTGTTTTTTTCAAGATTTATTTATTTGACGCGGGGAGAGAAGGAGTGTTCACACAAGCAGTGGGGGAAGGGCAGAGGGATAAGGAGAGAAAATCTCAAGCAGACTCCCTGGTGAGTGCAGAGCTCAGACACAGGGCTCCATCTCACAACCCCAAGATCATGACCTGAGCCAAAATCAAGTGTTCTGACACTCAACTGACTGAGCCACCCAGGTGCCCCTGACCTATATGTTTTTTGATATTGATAAATACTTTTAATGATTTATAAAGCAATTCACTGATAATCCATGATCACATGATTATGAACCCAGCAAGTTGAATCTCCTTTTTTTGGCTAGTTGAGTCTTGAATTTATCTTTCTGTACCCTATTTAAGTGTTGAGAGTGAAACTATTATTTTAGATCTGGAAGTAAAAGGGAAGGGAACTAATATTTTGGAGACCATATTTTGTACCAAGCACTATGCTAGGTACTTTATACCTCTCTTGTCTCATTAAGGATTTTAATAACCCCATGTAGCTACAATATGTCATTCCCATTTTATAGATAATTGACTCTCAGAAAGGACAGATACTAACTTAAACTGTACCTGTGTGACCCAAAGTCACACAGCTAGTGGGTGTTAAAGTGGAATTTAGGTGCAACTCCAAATTCTTCTCTTTCCCATCTGCCTCTATGAGCTGCATGAATATTACTTATATATTTGTTTATTGTCTCTTTTCCTGATTAGAATGAAACCTCACAGAAGTAAAGAATTTGAGGGCTTTTTAAAAAAAGATTTTATTTATTTATTTGACAGAGGAAGAGAGAGCACAAGCAGGAGGAGCGAGAGAGGGAGAAGCAGGCTGCCCACTGAGCAGGGAGCCCTATGTAGGACTTGATCCCAGGACCTGGGTATCATGATCTGAGCCGAAAGCAGCCACTTAACCAACTGAGCCACCCAGGCATCCTGGGGCTTTTTTTTTATTGTTGTTCAGTGCTACCTCTCCAGCACCTGGTACAGGCATAACACATAGAAGGCGCTCATTAAAATATTTTTGCATGCATGAATGAATGGCTTGTGAGTGTACTGATAGTTTGAAAAAGTTAATATCAATCAAAACTAACTTCAAGATAATAGTGAAAGCATATTACAGAAATCAGGCAACTGAACATTTGTCTTGATTTTGTGAATTTTATTAAAGTAAATTTTTATACATTACTGTTATTTTTGTTACCTTCTTTCCTAGGCAACTTCCATTTTAAAAATTACTCTTTCAGGGGCGTTTGGGTGGCTTAGATGGTTAAGCATCTGACTTTGGCTTGGGTCATGATCCCGGGGTCCTGGGATCAAGCCCCGTGTCGGGCTCCCTGCTTACCTGGGAGCCTGCTTCTCCCTCTCCCTCTGCCATTCCCTCCGCTTGTGCTCTCTGGCTCTATCTCTCTGTCAAATAAATAAGATCTTTTAAAAAAATTGTTCTTTCGGGGCGCCTGGGTGGCTCAGTCGTTAAGTGTCTGCCTTCGGCTCAGGTCGTGATCCCAGGGTCCTGGGTTCGAGCCCCGCATCGGGCTCCCCGCTCGGCGGGAAGCCTGCTTCTCCCTCTCCCACTCCCCCTGCTTGTGTTCCCTCTCTCGCTGTGTCTCTCTCTGTCAAATAAATAAATAAAATCTTTAAAAAAAAAATTGTTCTTTCAATAGTAGGCATTATTAAAATTGTCTTCTATAAAGTATTATTCTAAGGTAAGCTTTTAGGTCAAGTAATTTTCCAAATTCATCACATAGAAGCTTTGTGGCCTGCATTAGCTGATTGCTGTTGGTTTATCAGTGTCACTTGTATTTCCTGATTTTCATCTGCCTTCGTGTATCAGAGGTCAGCATCTGGCTATGGCAAATGACATAATTTTCTCATAATTGCAGATGCCCACTGAAACCAAAGAGACTATCTTGGGAGGAAAAAGTAAAATAGATTAAATATATCCTGTTTAATGAGCTCTCCTATAGTTTTGTTACTCATTCTGCTATATCCTAGAAATGTGTCATTAAAACTTTAAATTGTTTATAGTCTTATATCATGTTAATTATAGAAATATTAGAAATGAAATGTGTTTTAGAAATATATTGAACAAAACTGGTGTTTTTGCATTTAAGGCTTTGTTCAATCACAAAATAAATCTCATATTTCACACCTGACCTATATGACTTAGAACTCTCACAATTTATATCATAAAATTTTTAGGTTTCCCTTAAACTAGTCTAATTACGACAGTATTTCACTTATATATCCTCTGATTCTATAACCATGTCAAGGAGTTGTTAGTTTAAAAAGTTACTCAGGGGGCTCCTGGGTGGCTTAGTCAGTTAAGCGTCTGCCTTCGGCTCAGGTCATGATTTCAGGGTCCTGGGATCGAGTCCCGTATCGGGCTCTCTGCTCAGCAGGGAGCCAGCTTCCCCCCTCTCTCTGCCTGCCTCTCTGCCTACTTGTGATCTCTCTCTCTCTGTCAAATAAATAAATAAAATCTTTAAGAAAAAAAAGCTACTCAGGTTTCCTACTAAAACATACTAGCAACCTTGGACAAATGATTGATTCTAAGACCGGAGTAGGGAAAGTAAAAGATGAGCCTGGAATATCTGTGCAAGAAAGTAAGTAAGAAAATTAAAAGGCAGGGTAACTGGCTGGCTCAGTTGGTGGATCATGTGACTCTTAATCTCAGGGTTGTGAGCTCGAGCCCCGACATTGGGTGTAAAGAGTACTTAAAAATAAAATCTTGGGGGCACCTGGGTGGCTCAGTTGGTTAAGCAACTGCCTTCGGCTCAGGTCATGATCCTGGAGTCCCGGGATCAAGTCCCGCATCGAGCTCCCTGCTCAGCGGGGAGCCTGCTTCTCCCTCTGACTCTCCCCCCTCTCATGTACTCTCTCTCATTCTCACTCTCTCAAATAAATAAATAAAATCTTTAAAAAAAAAATCTTGGGGCGCCTGGGTGGCTCAGTCGTTAAGTGTCTGCCTTCGGCTCAGGTCATGATCCCAGGGTCCTGGGTTCGAGTCCCACATCGGGCTCCCTCCTCTGGGGGAAGCCTGCTTCTCCCTCTCCCACTCCCGCTGCTTGTGTTCCTGCTCTCGCTATCTCTATCTCTGTCAAACAAATAAATAAAATCTTTAATAAATAAATAAATAAATAAATAAAATCTTAAAAAAAAAAAAGGGGCACAGGTACTAGCTTGAAGGGGCTCCCACTGGCCAAATCTGAAACAATCGAAATAAATGATGATAGTAAAGGATTATAATCCATTGAATAAAATACGTCCATGAGTGCATATTGCTAATAAAACATACATTAATAAATAAGGGAGAAGGGAAAGCTTTTCCTTTCAGTAGAATGTAGTAAATTATTAAATCTCCAAAGAATGGGAGAGTTAGGTACTGGCACAAAAACAGACACATAGATCAACGGAACAGAATAGAGAGCCTAGAAATGGACTCTCAACTCTATGGTCAACCAATCTTCGACAAAACAGGAAAGAATATCCAATGGAAGAAAGACAATCTCTTCAACAAATGGTGTTGGGAAAATTGGACAGCCACATGCAGAAGAATGAAACTGGACCATTTTCTTATACCATACACACAAAAATAGACGCAAAATTTATGAAAGCCCTAAATGTGAGACAGGAATCCATCAAAATCCTTGAGGAGAACACAGGCAGCAACCTCTTCAACCTTGGCCACAGCAACTTCTTGCTAGGCACATCACCAAAGGCAAGGGAAACAAAGGCAAAAATGAACTATTGGGACTTCATCAAGATAAAAAGCTTTTGCCCAGCAAAGGAAACAGTCAATAAAACTAAAAGACAACCGACAGAATGTGAGAAGATATTTGCAAATGTCATATCAGATAAGGGGCTAGTATCCAAAATCTATAAAGAACTTATTGAACTCAACACACAAAGAACAAATAATCCAATTGAGAAATGGGCAGAAGACATGAACAGACATTTCTGCAAAGAAGACATACAAATGGCCAACAGACACATAAAAAAGTGCTCAACAACACTCGGCATCAGGGGAATACAAATCAAAACCACAATGAGATACTACCTCACACCAGTCAGAATGGCTGAAATTAACAAGTCAGGAAACGACAAATGTTGGCGAGGTTGCAAAGAAGGGGGCACCCTCCTACATTGTTGGTGGGAATGCAAGCTGGTGCAGTCACTCTGGAAAACAGGAGATTCCTAAAAAGGTGAAAATAGAGCTACCCTACGACCTAGCAGTTGCACTACTGGGTATTTACCCCAAAGATACAAATGTAGTGATCTGAAGAGGCACCTGCATCCCAATGTTTACAACAGCAATATCCACAATAGCCAAACTATGGAAAGAGCCCAACTATGCATTGATAGATGAATGGATAAAGAAGATGTGGCATATATATACAATGGAATATTACACAGCTATAAAAAAAGAAATCTTGCCATTTGCAACAATGTGGATGAAACTAGAGGGTGTTATGCTAAGCAAAATAAGTCAATCAGAGAAAGACAATTATCATATGATCTCACTGATATGTGGAATTTAAGAAACAAGGCAGAGGATCATAGGGGGAGAGGAAAAAATGAAACAAGATGAAACCAGAGAGGGAGACTAAACTGTAAGAGACTCTTAATCTTAGGAAACAAACTGAAGGTTGCTGGAGGGGAGGGGGGTCGGGGGATGGAGTGGCTAGGTGATGGACGTTGGGGAGGGTACATGTTGTGGTGAGCACTGGGTGTTATGTAAGGCTGATGAATCACAGACCTGTACCCCTGAAACAAATACTACATTATATGCTAATTAAATGAATTTAAATAAATTTTTTAAAAGATTTTATTTATTCATAAGAGACAGAGAGAGAGAGAGAGGCAGAGGGAGAAGCAGGCTCCCTGCTGAGCAAGGAGCCCGATGTGGGACTCGATCCCAGGACCCTGGGATCATGACCTGAGCTGAAGGCAGACGCTTAACCATCTGAGCCACCCAGGCACCCTTAAATAAATTTTTTAAAAAAGAATGGGGGAGTTAAAAAAGTCACCATTCAGCATCACGGCAATAATTGATTTCATTAAGAATCTTCAGTGGATGCTAAAACTAGTGGTAAAAGTTTGATGAGCAGAAGGTGTTTGCATAGTGTCAAAATACCTTTCCATAAATTACTTAATAATTACAAAAGGAAAAATTGCAATTTTTAACTGGAGAAACCTGGCAGACATAGTCTTAACCAACTGATGAAAATTAACATCAATTACTTCATGATGTAATGCACTGAAAAGTATATATCATCACTTAGACAGTATATGCCTGCCAAAAATGCATAATCTGAATCTGCTCATGCAGAAGCATCAGACAACCCCAACCCTGGCTGCTACTCTTTAAAACTGTTGAGACCCTAAAAGACAAAGACTGAGAAACTGTTCGAGATTAAAGGAGACTAGGATACGTGACAACTAAATGCATAATCAAGGATTATATCCTAGACCAGAAAAAGAAAAGTTGCAATAAAGAACACTACTGGGACAATTGGTGGCAAAATTTGAATATGGACTATAGATGAAATAATCGTCTTATATCAATGTTAAATTTTCTGATTTTGGCCTCTGCTCTTCCTCTTCCCCTAAGCGGCCTAAGGTGACCTCTGAAAATGGTTCGCTATTCGCTTGACCCAGAAAACCCTACGAAATCATGTAAATCAAGAGGTTCAAATCTTCGTGTTCACTTTAAGAACACACGTGAAACTGCCCAGGCCATCAAGGGTATGCATATCCGAAAAGCCACCAAGTATCTGAAAGACGTCACTTTACAGAAGCAGTGTGTGCCATTCCGTCGCTACAATGGTGGAGTTGGTAGGTGTGCCCAGGCCAAACAGTGGGGCTGGACACAGGGTCGGTGGCCCAAGAAGAGTGCTGAATTTTTACTGCACATGCTTAAAAATGCAGAGAGTAATGCTGAACTTAAGGGTTTAGATGTTGATTCTCTGGTCATTGAGCACATCCAGGTGAACAAAGCCCCCAAGATGCGGTGTAGAATGTACAGGGCTCATGGTCGGATTAACCCATACATGAGCTCTCCTTGCCACATTGAGATGATCCTTACTGAAAAAGAGCAGATTGTTCCTAAACCAGAAGAGGAGTTTGCACAGAAGAAAAAGATATCCCAGAAGAAACTGAAGAAACAAAAACTTATGGCCCGGGAGTAAGTTCTGCAGAATAAATGCAAATAAAAATTAAAAGAGAACGTTGGTGGCCTTTTATTATTAAACATATTTCAAGTATCTTCGCAAAGTGGATCAAATGAGTTTTCTTCCGATTAAACTAGAAAGATTATTCAAAAAAATTTTTTTCTGATTTTGATTACTGTGCTTCTAAAAGAATGTCCTTTTTCTTAGGAAATACCTTCTGAAATATTTAGGGGTAAAGAGGCATGATGTCTTAAACTTATTCTCACATGGTCCAGAAAAAAATATATCATTTATATATTCATATTTTAGATAGATCTATCTATGCATACATAGAGAGGGAAAGCAAATGGGGCAAAATTGGATGAAAAGTATATGAGACCTCTTTGTACTCTTCTTGAAACTTTTTTCAAAAGTGTTACCCAGATAAGAGAAATTGCAAATCAAAACTACAGTGAGATATTACTTTATGCCTATTAAGATGGCTACTACTGTCATAAAAATAGAAAATAACAAGCACTGGGGAGGATGCAGAGAAATTGAGCCCTTGCGCATTGTTGGTGGGAGTGTAAAATGGTGCAGCCATAATGGAAAACAGTATGTAGGTTCCTTAAAAAATTAAAAGTAGAATTACCACATGATCCAGCAATCCACTTGTGGGGTAATTTCCAAAAGAATTTAAAGCAAGATCTTGAAGAGATATTGTGCACCCATGTTCATTCAAATATTATTCACAGTCAAGAGGTGGAAGCAACCCAAATGTCCATCCACAGAAGAATGGATAAAGAAAATGTGGTAGGGCGCCTGGGTGGCTCAGTTGGTTAAGCGACTGCCTTCGGCTCAGGTCATGATCCCGGGACCCGGGATCGAGTCCCGCATCGGGTTCCCTGCTCGGCAGGGAGTCTGCTTCTCCCTCTACCCTACCCTCTTGTGATCTCTCTCTCCCTCTCTCTCTCAAATAAATAAAATCTTAAAAGAAAAAAAAGTGTGGTAAATGCATACAAGAGAATATAATGCAGACTTTAAAAAGAAGGAAATCCTGTTACATGCTACACATGGATGAACCTCAAGGGCATTATGCTAAGTGAAATAAGCCAGTCACAAAAGGACAAATACTGTATGTTTCTACTCATATGAAGTATCTGACGCAGTCAGAATCATAGAAATGGAAAGCAGAAAGGTGGTTGCCAAGGGCTGGGGAGTAGGTAGAAGAAATTAGTGTTTTCATGAGTATAGAGTTTCAGTTTTGCAAGATGAAAAAGTTATAGAGATCTGTTGTACAACAATGTGAATATATGTAACACAGCTGAACTGTGTACTTAAAAATGGTTCAGATGGTAAATATAATGTGTTTTTTACCACACACAAAAAATAGTTACCCAGGCAACTCTGATGATAGCCAGGTTTTAGAACTGGCAATAGCAGGTTAAGGGCATGGAATATGCCCACCTTACTCTACCTCTCCAACACTATAGGTTTCAATATCATGCAAAAACTAGGCTACTTGGGGCGCCTGGGTGGCTTAGTCGGGTAAGTGACTGCCTTCGGCTCAGGTCATGATCCCAGGGTCCTGGGATCGAGTCCCACATCGGGCTCCCCGCTCTGCGGGGAGCCTGCTTCTCAACCTCTCCCACTCCCCCTGCTTGTGTTCCCTCTCTCTCGCTGTGTCTCTCTCTGTCAAATAAATAAATAAAATCTTAAAAAAAACCCAACAAACTAGGTTACTTAAAAAAGGTAAGTTACAGGGCAATTTCTTTACCTTCCTGACTCTGTATTTCCAACTTCTACAGATTGAAAAACTGAAACAGCAATTGAATGAAACAAAGGAAAAAGCCCAAGAGGAGAAGGAAAAATTGGTGAGTATCTAGGTACACTAATACTTTTACTTACTGGGTGGTCAGGTTTCTGGCAAGCTCAGATATTTAAGACACAATAAGAGTAAGTGAATAGGTCCTCCGAGTAGCTCAGTGACCTTAAAGCTCACACACTTGATTGTACAGAAGCTCAAAAATAACATAAAATTATGTTATTGTAGAAAATGATCTGGTAGTAGTGGTACTACTGAGTTTGTCATTCTTTCTATGGCTTTTCAGTGGACAGAGGTAGGAAATACATATTTTTAAAAGATTATATAATGAGTCCATACCAATATTTTCAATTCAGATGCAGGAGTACAGGGTTTATTACTTGATCTGAGTCTCCTTTATCCCTCACCAAAGGTCCTGCTTTTTGTTGTTGTTGTTGTTGTTTTGCAATACAGTGATAGCAAATTAATTTATTTAGTACTTTTAGAGGATTGATTTCAACTTTTGCCTACATCAGACCAGTTGATATTCAAAACTGCACCACCAGACTCTAAATGATTTGATCATGGCATGTTTCACATCATCAAAACCATCTGAATAGATCTGCTGAAATAATTTGTTTAAAGCTGCGTCTCCCTCCAACTTCTCATTTTTTCTTCTTTGATTTCACTGACCAATTTATCCCAATTTCTTACATAATGAGATGATGATGGATATAATTTCCTATGTCTGCTATGAACTGTTTTGGTTTAGGCACATCTCCTTGCCCCTTTAGTTTTTCCCATCTCACAGCCTCTGTCTTGATTTCATTTTAATTTTAATTTTTGTTGAAAGTACTTTAAATGTGCTCTGTTCTGGTATTATAGGATGAAGAAGTCTCAGTTTCAAATTGTAATCCTTTCCAGAAGGAAGTTTCACCAAAGCAGACAGCTCTTTTTCTGAAAATTCCACATTTACATTATTCTTCTGAACATTCTTGATTTGAACATTCCTTGATTTGAACATTCCATACATCACAAGTGTAATGATTACTTGAGATTGTGTTTGATACCAGTCATACTTGATTTTTGACTGATGAGTCCTCTGGGATGCAGACACCTCAGATTGTGATCCATTCTGAGATTCTTGACACCTTTTAATCCAGACAGTGAAATCAGGACCTGCACTCTCTAATTCCTGTCTTCCTAGAAAAGCTTCTAGAGCAGCAGCATAGTTTTTTTTTTTCATGGTATTCACATATCCCTTTTCTCAGCATAGCAGTGGAATTATTTAGATTAAGTTCAAGAGATTTCTTTGCATCAGCAACAGCATCACAGTAATTCCCAAGAAGTACGTGACAATAAGCTCTTTGACAATAATACTGTGCATCATCTGGTTTCTGTTCCAAAGCCTTAGTCAGCTTCTCTAATGCTGCCTGGGGGTCCTCATCCATCAGAGGACCTGATAAGCTCCAGGAAAACTTCTGGGCTGTTGTAGGTCCTACTGCAGCTGCTGCCATCCCTAATAATTGCTGTTGCAGTTAGAGCTGCCACCCCTGAGGTTACGAGCTGCCCCACTGCCCAAGGGGGAACTTCTCCAAAAATCCTGTTCTTAATGATATTGGTATAATCGAGTAGTTGCTTCAAACCTCAATACGTCAACAGTCACAATACCAATATTACCACTAACATAGATTAGTGGAAACAGATTTAAGATTTTAGGGGGCACTTTTCCCCCTTAGGATATATACCAATAGGGATCTATGATCAAATACTTTACCATTTGAAAGAATTCCTGTGAGGTTATGCCACCAACTGAAGAACACATTTTGCTTTTGATTTTTAGAAGTGCTTTTAAAAAAATTGTGCATATAAATTATGTAATTATATAATTAGGTAAAATATTTATGTGGCTCCAAAGTCAAGTCTATCAAACATGTTGTATTCTGAGAAATCTAACTCCTATCCATGTCTTCACAATGTGCCAGTGTACATTGTATCGTCAAAATTGATTTTTGTCAACATGATAGGTGAGTATTCCAGTGTATTTTAATTTGCATTTCTCTTTAATGAGCTACATTGAACATTTTCTCATGTTTGAGGGTCATTTGCATTTCCTTTTGTTATTTCATTCATTTTAAAAATTGTGTTATTGGCCCTTTCTTCCTCCACTTCCTCCTCCCTTTTTTTCTCGTCTCTCCTTTTCTTCCTTTTCTACTCTTCCTCCTCATCCTCAGCCTTCTCTTCCTCCCTCTCCCTTCCTTCCTCTTTTTTCCCAACTTCTCCTTCTTTCTTGATTTATTAGAGCTACCGGCCCTTCCTTTATCTCTTAGTTCACTAATTTTAATTTAGGGTTAGGGATGTTATTTGTCTTTCTTACAAATTAAAATTTTGTTTAGTCTTCTCATACCTCTTTTTAATAATTACATTTTCTGTATAAGATCAGCTCATTTGAGAATTTTTTTCTTATTCAAGGCACTTGGTATCTTCTAACAAAAAGTAAAACTTCTAACAAAAAGCAAAAATAAAAAGGGAACATTTCTTCAAATAAGATAGACAAATAGCTTAAGGCTTCAAAGGGAACACAACTCTGTGGGGCTTTTGTTCTTTTTCCTAACTCATTTACCTGTTTCTTTGCATACAGGAACAAAAGTATACTGTGCAAATAAATGAGCTGGAGGGACAGTTCCATCAAAAAGCTAGAGAAATTGGCATGATTCAGACAGAGCTGAAATCAATAAAACAATTCCAGAGGAGAAAAATCCAAGTGGAGAAAGAATTAAATGATGTAAGTTTCTTTCTTTCTTTAAATAAAGGTGAGTAGAATTAACTACAAGCATACCTCGGAAATATTGCAGGTTCAGTTCCAGAGTGCCACAATCAGGTGACTATCATAGTACTATACTTAATGTGTGCAAAAGCCTTCATAGACATTTATTCCTGTGAGATGGTAAAGGACTCCCTTGACATTTCAGAGGGTATTTGAGAGAAAGCGGAAGATATAATGAGTGTGGCACTGGGTGCAAGTCTTATTTCTAAGACTTTCCTAAGCATTGATTTTTTTGTGACTTCACCAAATCTTAGCCAACACACCCTTCCACATTTATCAGCAACTAAACCTTTGGAGTGACTTCAATAAGAAACAAATTACAGGGGCACCTGAGTGGCTCAGTTGGTTAAGCCTTTGCCTTCAGCTCAGGTCATGATCCCAGGATCTAGGATCAAGCCCCAAGCTGGGCTCCCTCCTCAGTGGGGAGTCTGCTTCTCCCTCTCCCTGCTGCTTATACTCTTTCTCTCTCTCAAATAAATAAACAAAATCTTAAAAAACAAACAAACAAACAAACAAATTACAGTTCTTGGGAAACATTAGGGGCAAAGTAGCAAAGTCCTAAAGAAAAATAGGGTTAGACTGATGAAGGATGATTTTAGAACATTTTAGAAGGTTCTCTGGTTAAGGGTGGGCAGGGTGAGGAAAACTGCGTACTTTCAGAAAGTTTCTCTGACCTTGCTATGCTTTTTCTCTTACTTTCCATCCCCTCAGCTCAGAATATAGTTTTATTGCATTAGTAATAATGTAATAAATGGCACATTTATGCAGGGGATAGTAGCTTAAATCAGCTTTGTGACTTCAGGCAAGTTACTTAACCTTTCTATATCTTGGTTGCCTGATCTGTAAAATAGGATAATAAGGGTTACTCATAGACTCGTAGGGTTACTGTAAAGGCTACATGAGTTCATATATTTAAAGTGCTTAAAGTAGTGCATATCATATAAGTGAAAATTATATTTATAGTGGCATGTAGCTCTTTGAGGACAAAAGTCCTGATTTGTAGCATTTGCTGATTTCCTTGGTATAAATACTTGTATTATGGCCAATTTCAAGCTACAAACACTTTAACAACATGTTAGCAAAATTCCTGGTATGAGCCCGCTCTAACATGCAACTGAACATTGCTGCTATTACTAGTAATAATAAGAGTATTACCACCTAAGATAACCGTATTTCATGTAGTGGAGGGGCTAAAAGTTGATGCTCTGAAGTCAGGCTGCTAGAGTATACTGTTTTTACTACTTGGGTATCTTGTTAAATTTCCTCATCTAAAACATGGAGGTGAGAATAATGGTACCAACTTTAAAGGGTCATTGTGAAGACTAAATGAAATAATCTGTTTTAAATGCATAGCACTGTGTGGTAAATATTACCTGTTGTTGCTGATCCTGCTGCATTATTACTACTGCTAAAATTATGATTTTAGCCATGAGTATTATTTAAGGCCCTTCCACCGTCACTTTTAGTGCCTCTCACTCTTGGGCATGGTGTTCTCCAAGCATGCAATGCCTCTCAAGCCCTCCTTGGGCTACCCAGAGCCCTGTTTAACAAGAACAAGCTTTGATGGGAAACCAGAGTTCCTGCATCCTATTTCTGTTTACCTTTTAGCTGATCACCAAATCCAAAGAGTATATGCGAAATGAATAAGTCAGATAAGACAATGTAGTGTTTGAAATTATGGACTTCATGTCCTGGTTCTGCAGCTGATAGCTGTATGGCTTTGGATAGTCTGTTAACTTCTCTTGAGTCTCAGGTTCTTCACCTGTAAAATGTAGCTGTAATATCACCTGCCTCCTCTTAGAGATGTTGTGTGGGTTTAATAATGTAATGTGTGTAAAATACTTAGCACACTCATTCCTATTAATCCCTGGTAAAAGTAGTAGCATAGTAGTTATTGATGTTTGCTTGCTTTAATTATATAGCTTTAAAAATCTTAGTAGAGGGATGCCTGGGTGGCTGAGTTGGTTAAGAGTCTGCCTTCAGCTCAGGTCATGATCCCAGAGTCCTGGGATTGAATCCCGCATCAGGCTCCCTGCTCAGAGGGGAGCCTGCTTCTCCCTCTAAATGCTGCTCCCCCTGCTTGTGGGCTCTCTCTCTCTCTGACAAATAAATAAAATCTTAAATAAATAAAAATCTTAGTAGAGTACTCTTAAAAGCTCTAATTAAAGGGATGACTTGGCACATTTCAGGCAAGGTAGGAAAGGGGAAGACACTTTCTTAGACTGGAGGAATGTGGAGGAATGTGTTTTAACTCTATCGTAATTGCGAAGTTATCCCAAAACCTTCCCGGTAGGCTTTGTTTATGAACCTGATAACTTGTTGCTTTACAACTGGTCTTATAACTGTTTTATTTTATTTTTATTTTTATTTATTTATTATGTTATGTTATGTTAGTCACTGTACAGTACATCATTAGTTGTTGTTTTTTTTTAAAGATTTTTTATTTATTTATTTGACACACAGAGAGATAGAGAACACAAGCAGGTAGAGCAGCAGACAGAGGGAGAGGGAGAAGCAGGCTCCCTGCTGAGCAGGGAGTCCGATGTGGGACTTGACCCCAGGACCCTGGAATCATGACCTGAGCCGAAGGCAGACGCTCAACCGACTGAGCCACCCAGGCATCCCCATCATTAGTTTTTGATGTAGTGTTCCATGATTCATTATTTGCATATAACTGTTGCTTTAAAATTGTTCTTAATTTTTTAGGGATGCCTGGGTGGCGCAGTCAGTTGGGCATCTGCCTTCGGTTCAGGTCATGATCCTGGAGTCCTGGGATCGAGTCCTGCATTGGGCTCCCTGCTCAGCAGGGAGTCTGTTTCTCCCTCTGACCCTCCCCCCTCTCATGTGCTCTCTCTCTCTCTCATTCTCTCTTTCAAATAAATAAATAAATAAATCTTAAAAAAAAAAAAAGAAACTTGAGGGTGTTATATTAAGTGAAATAAATCAGAAAGATAATAATAATAAAACTTGGTTAATGAGTGATATAAGGCAACCATCTATGATGGTTGTTATCACTTATATGTAGAATCCAGAAAGAGCTGAACTCAGAGAAACAGTAGATTAGAGGTTACCACAGCTGGCAGGGAGGGGGATATGAGGAGATACTGGTCAAAGGATACAAACTTCCAGTTCTAAGATTGACAAGTTCTGGGGAATCTAATGTATAGCATGGTGATTAGAGCTAATAATCTTGTATTATATACTTGAAAGTTGCTAAGAAAGTAGATCTTAAGTGTTTTTACCACAAAAAAGAAATGACAACTATGTGACAGTATGGAGGGGTTAGCTAATGCTATGGTGGTAATCATTTTGCAATATATAAGTGTGTCAGATCAACACATTGTACACCTTAGATTTATACAATGTTATATGTCAATTTACCTCATAAAGCTGGAAAAAAGACAAAAAATAAAAAGATTATTAGCAAAAAAAGTAATAATTTTCTTTGTGTGTTTTCACAGCATTTTGTATCTCTTTTATACACTTTAGCCCATTCTACCTTGACATATTTATCATTTGTCTTATCTCCCCTGCTAGATTACAATCTTTGAGGCATGAACAGTGTTGTTCCTTTGTATTCATTGAAATACAAGATACACAGTAATGCTCAATGAATCTTTGTTAAATGCTGAGTAGGTCTTTTCATTAAAAATGTAATTGCAGGAATATCAAGTTTCTACTAACTAGATGGGAGGAATCCTTTCATAATGTATATGTATATCAAATCATCATAATATACACGTGAAATACTTTACTGTTAATAATTCCTCAAAAAAGCTTAAAATTTTTCTAAAAGGAATATCAAAAAAATTTTTATACGAAAATGCTAAAGACTGAATCAAGTTAAGATCTGTAACTTTTTAGGTACTCTCAAAATAGCTATCGGAAGTATAGGTATACATTCTGAATCAAAGTGAATTAACTAGTGCATATTCTTGTGGGCCGCAGTATGATTTCTTAAGAACAATATTGCCACCTAATGGAGAAATAGATTTCAGACTTTTCAAAAAGGGCCATGGGCCAGGAAGACTTAAAATTCAAAGGCAAAAGATACTGGCTTATGGGAAAAATAAGGTGGTTCTCTGGAATCCCAAATATGGAAGAATTAAGGCAGGTGTAGGGACCCATGAACTTAAAATGGGAAGAGGGTGTATACATAAAGGAAGAAAATTAATTAAAGTGTGTGTATAGAATTCACTATACAAATTAAAAGAGGCTAATTAAATTTAGATGATCACAAGGTATTCAAAGCATGAATTTTAAAGAAAAAATGATATCTATGTGATTAACAGAAGGAGCATACATTGGTAGGTTGCAGTTATTATTTTTAATAATTTGTTTTAGTTTTTCTTCTTTTGACAAAGTGATAATACCCATTTCAGCAAATCTAGCTGATAAAAAAGAAAATTAAAAGCTCTCCCTGACAATTATACTACCTAGAGATAACTGGTAAATATTTTGGTATATTTTCTTTCCATTTTTCTTTTCTTTTTTTTTTTTAAGATTTTATTTATTTATTTGACAGAGAGAGATACAGCGAGAGAGGGAACACAAGCAGGGGGAGTGGGAGAGGGAGAAGCAGGCTTCCCACCGAGCAGGGAGCCCGATGCGGGGCTCGATCCCAGGACTCTGGGATCATGACCTGAGCCGAAGGCAGACGCTTAACGACTGAGCCACCCAGGCGCCCCTCTTTCCATTTTTCTTCCTCTATGTAGAAACATTTAAAAATAATGTGGTATTTTTTTAAATGAGGTCATTATGTACAAACTGTTAACCTGACCTTTTTACTTTTATTGTGAACATTTTTCAACACCATTACATACTTTTCTATAAAAGCTTTTGACTAGATGCATAGAATTCCACTGGGTAGATGTATCATGATTTTTTAAAAAATATTTTATGTATTTATTTTTTATTTTTTTATTTTTTTAAAGATTTTATTTATTTATTTGAGAGAGAGAGAATGAGAGACAGAGAGCAGGAGAGGGAGGAGGGTCAGAGGGAGAAGCAGACTCCCTGCTGAGCAGAGAGCCCGATGTGGGACTCGATCCTGGGACTCCAGGATCATGACCTGAGCCGAAGGCAGTCGCTTAACCAACTGAGCCACCCAGGCGCCCTATTTATTTATTTATTGAGAGAGAGAGAGAGAGAGGAGGGTGAGGAGCAGAGGAAGAGGGAGAGGAGAGAATCTCAAGCAAACTCCATGCTCAGCGCAGAGCCCGACACAGGGCTTGACCCCATGACCCTGAGATCATGACCTGAGCCAAAATCAAGAGTCCAAAGCTCAACCAACTGAGCCATACAGGCACCCCAATGTATCATGATTTATTAATTGGTCCCTTCTTGTTGGACATCTGAACTGTTCTCTTTTTTCTTTTTTAAAGAATATGTAACAATCTTTTTTTTTTTTTTAAAGATTTTATTTATTTGAGAGAGAGAGAACATGAGCAGTGGGGAGGGGCAAAGGGAGAGGGAGAAGCAGACTCCCCACTGAGCAGGGATCCTGATGTGGGACTCGATGCGGGACTCGATCCCAGGACCCTGAGACCATGACGTGAGCTGAAGGCAGATGCTTAACTAACTGAGCCACTCAGGTGCCCCTGGACTTCTTTCTAATTTTCCACTATTATATACCATGATGAACATCTAGTAACTATTTTTCTACATCTGTAATTAGCATTTAGGGTAACTTCTTAGAGATGGAATTTTTTTTTTTAAGATTTTATTTATTTATTTGTCAGAGAGAGAGAGGCAGGCAGAGGCAGATGCAGGCTCCCTGCTGAGCAAGGAGCCTGATGCGGGACTTGATTCCAGGACCCTGGGATCATGACCTGAGCCGAAGGCAGACACTTAACCAACTGAGCCACCCAGGCATCCCAATTAGAGGTGGAATTTATAGGTTAAAGAACATAAACTTTTAAAGGCTTTTGATAGGCATTACCTAATTATCTTTTGAAAGATTTGTGAATTTATGGATTTTTGAGGGAGTCCAATGGCATATGAAAGGTCCATCGCTGCACATGCTAAGATTAAGATTAGATAGACATTTCCATAAACTTGTATATTGACATTAATTTTCAGTCTTTAACGATGTAAGAGGCCATTTTTTAAAAAGTTGTATGAGAAATATAGGGAGAAAGAACATCTGAAAGAGATCTTATAAAATGGAGATTTAATACAATTAGGACAGGAAAATTGTTAAGTATAAGGGAGGATGATAGTAGATATAATAATAACTAGGTTTTATATTAAACGGTTACTATTCTAGGTACTTTACATGTATTGTTTGTTATTTAATCCTTGCCACACCCTATGAGCTAGTTACTATTATTATTCTCTTTTTATTCCTGGGAACCTGAGATTTAGAGAAGTTAAGAGATTAGCCCAGAGTAAAACCGTTGGCAAGTGAGAAAGGTCTGTCTCTTGCGGAAACCCTTCTCTGCTGCCTTTTTTACGGCATGAAGATTAGATTGAGTATGCTATTACAGCCTGACCGATTGCCAGGAAATGTAGACTATAGAATCATAGCTTTAAATTAGTTTACCTTTTGGGCGCCTGGGTGGCTCAGTTGGTTAAGCAACTGCCTTTGGCTCAGGTCATGATCCTGGAGTCCCTGGATGGAGTCCCGCATCGGGCTCCCTGCTCGGCAGGGAGTCTGCTTCTCCCTCTGACCCTCCCCCCTCTCATGTGCTCTCTCTCTCTCTCATTCTCTCTGTCTCAAATAAATAGATAAAATCTTTAAAAAATAAAAAATAAATTAGTTTACCTTTCTTTGCCTAGAAGAGTTTTATGTCCTTTTTATTCCATGTAAAATGTTTTGAGGACAGAAGGATCCATCTGTGGGAATCATAGAGAGATGTGTTTTAGATTAATACTAAGAAGAATTTTCTAAAAATGGGAACTATGAAATACTAGTCTAATGAATTAATGAAGTTTGAATTAGTGATACTTCTGTGTAGCTATTTTTCTCATAGAAGGAATCCTGTATCAAGTAGGAAATTGTATTTACTGTGACTCTTAAGATCCCTTTCTATTTTAAAATATTATTTTTTTAAAGTTTATTTATTTAAGTAATCTTTGCACCCAACATGGGCTTGAACTCATGACCCCAAGATCGAGAGTTGCATGCTCCTCCAACTGGGCTAGCCAGGTGCCCCAATTCTAAAATATTATGATTCTATGAGTCCACATGATATTTGAAAAATATGATTATGAGAACAACTTGTCCTGGGAACTATTGTTCATGAACAGCTTTTTTAAAAATTCAATACTGATCTTGTAAGTCTGTAGATTGGTTGGAAAGCTAGTACTCACGGGCAGGGACATGGAATTTTTCTGTGTTCAGGATTAAGAAATAATGTATAACAGGGCGCCTGGGTGGCTCAGTTGGTTAAGTGACTGCCTTCGGCTCAGGTCATAATCCTGGAGTCCCTGGATCGAGTCCCACATAGAGTCCCACATCGAGTCCCAGATCGGGCTCCCTGCTCAGCAGGGAGTCTGCTTCTCCCTCTGACCCTCCTCCCTCTCATGCTCTCATTCCCTCTCTCACAAATAAATAAAATCTTAAAAAAAAAAAAAAGAAATAATGTATAACAGAAAATGTTTCTTTATTGAGAATTTTCCAGGAATGTGCCTCAATCACCCCTATTTCCTATTGATCTTTTGTTGTTGTTGTTTTAATTACAGTTGAAGGAGAATTTAAGGAACACAGAGCGGAAACATCAGGAGACTCTTAGAAGATTGGAGGGCAAGTTTTTTGAAGAAAAGGTACGACATTTTAGAGTTAATTAAGAAATATTTTGTTTTTAAAAAAAGAAATATTTTGTTTACTAGAACGATATAAGTGTCTATATGCATATCAACCTTTCCTTTGGATCTTATTAGAGGAGGGTTTATCAAATCACAGCAGAAAAAAGAAAAAACAGAGAAAACAAAACTTGTTCAAGGTATCTCAATGTTTAGTCCTTTTTCCCCCTCCTAGAGATTTTTTTTTTTAAGATTTTTAAAAAAATTTATTTATTTGACACAGAGAGAGAGAGAGAGAGAGAGCACAAGCAGGGGGAGTAGCAGGCAGAGGGAGAGGGAGAAGCAGGCTCCCCGCTGAGCAAGGAGCCCAACACGGGGGCTTGATCCCAAGACCCCGGGATTGTGACCTGAGCCGAAGTCAGACACTTAACCGACTGAGCCACTCAAGCACACCTCTTTTTTTTTTTTTTTTTTAAGATTTTATTTATTTATTTTTGAGAGAGAGAGAGGACAAACATGAGCAGGGGGAGGGGGAGAGGAAGGGGAATGGGCAGAGGCAGAGAGAGAAGCAAACTCCCCACTGAGCAGGGAGCCCAATGTGGGACTCAGTCCCAGGACCCTGGGATCATGACCTGAGCCAAAGGCAGATGCTTAACGGACTGAACCACCCAGGTGCCCCTAGTTAGAGATTCTTGAAATCCTCCAGAGGGATTGTCATCTTACCAAGGTTTCAGGACACACCCGCCTCAGCTTGGTGTTCCCCTGGTGGAGGAAGAGCGGCATGTACCACATTATATGGGGGGGGGGGGGAGGGGATGGGAGCCGTCACTCTGGTACTCATGAAGGTATTTCCCTAGTCAAGCCAAGCTAAACTAAGGATGTTAATAAAAGGGGGCTCAAAAATGTTCCTTAGCATATCACAAACTTCCATGTTTCTCCAATTAACATTGGATGTCTCCAATGTTAATTCTCCAGATTGTGGGAAGTGCATTGGAACACTTCTCTTCTGCACAATCTTTTCAGAGGACCCATGGTTTTTCTTTAATTCTTCTAATTTCTCATTCTTAGGAAGAATTGAACAGATTTTTTTCAGAAATTGGTAGGGACGTAGCAGGTTGAGGGTGGGGCAAATAAGTACTCACATCAGGTTTAGATAAAGGATTTGCTTCAAAAAGTGGCTCTGGATTTCCAGTTTATGTAGTGAATAACCTAGGAGTGGGGCAGGACCCGCATCTTGGTGCTTTCCCCCTGAGCACTTCCTGGCACTGTTAGGAATGGGAGTCCTCAGGAATGGGCTGCTCTCAATTGCCCTTTTCTTCTATCCCACCCTAAGCTTGATCTCTTCCTTGCTAACTGTATTATTCTACAAACAAAGGTTAGGAGTGCTTGGTCCGTTTATAGAATACCTGACTGACAGTGCTTATATAAATAGGATTTTTCTGTCTGGAAGTAGGTGGCTGCTGGCCTTTCCTTCATAGTTGCAAGATGGTTAATGCAGCTCTAAGATTTGTCTGTGTTTAAGGCCAGAAGAAGGGAGGCTCCAGCTGTGCCTGTCCTTTTTGACCTGCAAACCATAAAAGCTTTCCCAGAAGCTCTTAGCAGATTTCTTCTTACATCTATCTCATTGGCCAGAACCATGTTATATTGGATGCTGGGAAAGTGTATTGTTTTTCTAGATCCGAGTGGAAGCTAGGAAGGAAAAGGGAGGATGGGAATGAGTGTTGGAATGGCCAGCCTCAGCAGTAGCCATCTCACCATGTTAGGGACAAACTCCCTGGTTAGGTATGAACTCCTGCGCTGGTGTGAACCCCAGTGCTGCTGGCTTATGGCAGTGGGCTTTCCAGTAAGCCTGTTTATTCATCTCATACCGTAGCATGCTCCACCTGGTTATCCTTTCTGTTCCTTGAACCACCAAGCCCTTTCCCAATGGCATATTTTTGTACTTTGCTGTTCCTTTCTAGAATGTTCTTCCTCCAGCTCTGGCTCTTCTCATTCTTTTTTAAAGATTTTTATTTATTTATTTATTTGACAGAGAGAGACAGTGAGAGAGGGAACACAGGCAGGGGGAGGGAACACAAGCAGGGGGGAATGGGAGAGGGCGAGGGAGAAGCAGGCTTCCCGCTTAGCAGAGAGCCTGATGTGAGGCTGGATTCCAGGACTCCAGATCATGACCTGAGCTGAAGGCAGACACTTAACAACCGAGCCACCCAGGCTCCCCTGGCTCTTCTCATTCTTCAGAGATCAAATGTCATTTCCTCAGAGATAGATTCCCTAAACCCCAATCTAAAAGAATCTCCCTCAATTACTGTGTCATTACTTTGCTTACTACATTGACAGCATTTATCACAGTCCATTAATTCTCTTACTTGTCACATTGCCTGCTATAAATGTCTGCTCTGCCATTTACTAGCTATCTAACTCTGCGCAAGTCACTAACCTCTCCTTCCCTCCATTTCCTCAGTCCTTGTTTTGGGGGATAATAATATCTGATTCTTAGGGTTGTTGTGAGAAGTAAATAATAAATATAAAGCTCTTAGAACCAGGCCTGGCACATAGTAAATGCTCAATGCATTTTAATTATTATTGTTGCTTGGATCTCACCTAGAATATAAGGTGAGACTTTATCTGTTTTTTCACCACAGAATCTCCAGCATCTAAAAATCTGGGACAATATTAGTGCTCAATAGGAGTGTGTTGCATAAGTAAATAAATGACTCTTGCCACTTTGTATTTAGCAGAAATTTCTCCCAGCTCTGGGAGAAATACTTTCCAATACTGATGTAGATTTTTTTTTTTTTTTGGTATTTTCATGTCATGTTCCTTCTTTAATGGGGAGACCTGGAGGTACCCTGAGGTTCCCGTGTTCACACTCTCCTCTTTGCTAGCTCCTCCACCAGTACTTGGAGCTCTTCACATCGGGTCATGTGACAGGAGTATTTTATTTGACATTATGAAATCAATACTTCACTTTTTGATGTGTAAATTTGTTAGAAATATAACTGTATTAAAATAGCCTCTTTTCTTTTTTAGCACCGATTAGAACAAGAGGCTGAAAAGAAGATAATAATGCTGGCAGAGAGAGCTCACCATGAAGCTGTTGTGTAAGAGACTCTTGTCTCCTTTTCCTTTCTCATAGCCTCTCTGACCTCTTTGCTGGTGTTTTGTTGTTATGTTGTCTTACCCCTTCTCTCCCGGTTTGCTTTCTTCAAATATTTTTGTTTACTTTCCCTCACTGTTTCTTTCTCTGTGTCCTGGCTCCTTTCCCACCCACCCTTTCTGTACCAGGGTGGTGTAGAGGAAGGAACCCCAGCTTTCAATTTAGACTTTGGTTCCCAACATGTATACTTACTGACTGACTGACTGTCAGAAGATTTCCTAAAGTTTTTGAAATTAAATTTCTTCATCTAAAAATGCAGATAATCATAGCAACTGTACAGAGTTGTCATGAGGTATGTTAGTGACAATAACAATTGTATTGTGTTAATAAATAAACTCCCAAGTCTCAGTGCTTTAGTTCTTGCTCACTTAACAATCCAATATGAGTCTGATAGCTCTACTTGAGTGGTGATTCAGAAACCAGGGCTGCTTCCATCTTGGACTTCTTCACATCCAGTCATATGGACAGGAGAGAGCATGAGAAACTCCTGTCTGCTCTTAACTGCCTTGGACTGGAAGTAACACATAACTTTTCACTTTCCTGTTGATGAGAACTTAGTCACAAGATTCCCACCTAACTGTTGAGTACCCACCATTAACTAAATAAGTGGTGGGCATTATTTTTAATATTGGGGGATAAGGCAATCATTGTTTTAGTTTCATAATATCTAATACTTAGGCCTGTGTTTTGGGATCTTATATCTATCTATTTCAGGCAATTGAACAATGCTGGAAGAGCTGTTTTTAAAGAGAATGTTTATCTCCAGAAAGCTCTCGCATACCATCTGAAGGAAGCTGATGCTCTACAAAAAAACTCCCAGAAGTTGCAAGAGACTCAGACTTTCCTTTTACATCAAAAGGTTCCCACTCCATTTAGACTTCATTTCCTATCTTTCTGCTTTTTGTTTAAGGATTGGGTTGGCAAATATGAAAAATTGAGTATAGTAAGGACAATGGGACCATTGTCCCATTTTTCTTCTGTCTGGGTAATGTACCTTTCTTATCTGAAAGGATTAATTACAAGAATGACATAAGAAGCATTCGACTTGGCTTTATAAAGAATGTATCACATAAATAACTCCTATCCTCTACTACCTTAGAATACTCATTTTACTTTGCTTAGCTTAGAGTCGGTCTCTGAATCACTTCAGAGTAGGTTCAGCTGTAACAGCCCTGACAACAATGGCTTTACCATGTAAGGGTTTATTCGCGCCCCTAAGGGAAGTCTGGAGGTTAGCAATCCAGAGCTAGAATGGTAGCGCCACAAAGCCCGCAGGGCTGTTTCCTTAACTCTAGCAGTGTGTGGCTGACAGCCCCAAAGTCACCTCATGGCCCAAAGCAGCTGCTAAAACTCTAACCATTACTCAGACAGCAGGAAGGAAAAAGGACAAGGAGGAAAAAAAGTATGCCCCTCCCTTTAGAGGTCTTCCTGGAAGTCCTGCACACACTTCTACTTACATTTCATTGACCCAGAACTTAGCCACATGGCTTTACTGAACTGCGAGGGGGACTGAGAATTTTCAGTTGGGCTTCCTGCTTTCCTGAATAAAATTAGAGTTTTATCACTAAGGAGGAAAGGGAAAATGAAAAAAAAAAAAGAAAAGAAAAGAAAAAGAAATAGGCAACTAGCCTATGGCCGATTTCCAGTATATAGTTGTTAATGTGTTACTGTATAGTCTTACTGATTTTGAAATTACCCTTTCCATAGTACAAAATATTTAAACTTTCAGAATTTTAAAGGAAGGACAGTTTCTTATCTAGCAAAAGTAGTGGCCTTCACAAGCCCAGAGAAGAACCCTCAGATGTTTTTTACTCTCCATACACAGAACACCAAATATCACCATCTCAACCTGGCATCAAATTTAAATCTCCTGAAGTAATGAAATTTAGTAAGGAACTTTTAAGTTCTGAAATTGACTAAAAAAACCTCTCACCTCTCTCATCTTTGTTTTTAGGAGATCAATGATCTGTTGGTTAAGGAAAAGATTATGCAACTTACCCAGCAAAGATTGCAAATCCAAACTCTTCAGAAGAAGGTGGTAAACTTGGAGACTGCCCTGAGTTGTATGACCAGAGAGTTTGAGATTGAAGTTTGTAAAATGCAGCAACAGACAATGATAGAGAACAAAGCAGGGCTGGTTGAAATTGACAAGCTGCAGCAACTTCTCCAGATGAAGGACAGAGAACTGAATCGAGTAAAGAAGCTGGCCAAGAACATACTGGATGAGAGAACAGAAGTGGAAAGTTTCTTTTTAGATGCTCTACACCAAGTGAAGCAACAGATCCTATTTAGCAGGAAGCATTATAAACAGGTAGCTCAAGCTGCTTTCAATTTTAAAATGAGAGAGGCATGTGCAGGAAGAACAGAATATCCCAAAATCCGAACGTTTGATGGCAAAGAGCACAGCACCAATAGTGTGAATCAAGATCTTATGGAGGCTGAGAAATGGTACCAATCATGCCTTTAATATTTTATCTTTTGTGCTATTTTTGTGTCCTTTAGAGAAATAAGAACCCTCAGAAGTTCAGTTTGCTAATATCTAAATATTGAATAGATTACTCACTAAGTTATTTGAGGACAGGAACTATCTTACTCATCTTTATAACCCCTATGCTTAGGACAGTGTGTGGGGCTTAGTAGGTATTCTTAGTAGATTCCCTTTCTTCATCACAGAGACTTCTTAAAGAGACTGATCATTTGTTCCATAGAATGTCATTGTAATATCTTTTAATGTGTTCTTTTACTTTCTGTAAACTCATTATAAAGGTTTGATCAGATTCAGTTTAAACATTTTTGATAAGCATACTTTCACAAATATTTTGTAATGTTTCCTTTACTATTCTGAGATGAAATTCATAGGTAATAATATCTAACTAAACATATACTTTAAAAAACCAATATAACAGTTCATAATAATTCTTTATTGTACAGAACTGTCCCATGGATTGGAGGACATCCAATAGTGGGTCCCCATCATTGTATTAACCGAAAGTACCCCCAAGTTTCCAAAATATACTCCAGAGATCTACTGCCACTGTAATAAAGGTAGCAGGATGCTTGAGACAGTTGGAGACTGTATACAATGATTGCTTCCTGTTAGCATTTTTGTTTGTCAGTGCACTCTTAACCCATAAATTATAGTGCATTTTAAAGATTATTCTGAAAAAAGGGTCTTTTTTTTTTTTTCAAAGATTTTATTTATTTATTTGAGAGAGAGAATGAGATAGAGAGAGAAAGCATGAGAGGGGGGAGGGTCAGAGAGAGAGGCAGACTCCCTGATGAGCAGGGAGCCCGACGTGGGACTCGATCCCGGGACTCCAGGATCATGACCTGAGCCGAAGGCAGTCGCTTAACCAACTGAGCCACCCAGGCGCCCTCTTTTTTTTTTTTTTTAAGATTTTATTTATTTGACAGAGCACAAGCAAAGGGAGAGAGAGAGAGGCAGGCTCCCTGCTGAGCAAGGAGCCCGATGTGGGACTCGATCCCAGGACCCTGGGATCATGACCCAGGCCGAAGGCAGCCGCTTAACCGACTGAGCCACCCAGGCGTCCCACTGAAAAAAAAGTCTTATATCCCAGGGCAATTAGGTTCTTCAAAGGCCTTAACTCAAGAAACTTAAAAGGACTCCCTACAACTATGTACTAAACATCTTGTTAACAGTGCTTCCAAATGAGTTTTCTGCTTTTTTTATAATGGACTAATTTGTAGGTTCTTTTAAATTATATAGCTGTTGGGAAGGTTGGACACTGTCAGTGGCTTCTGAAAGACAAGACTCTTCTTCAAATATATCCATACTATGACTTTTAAAAACTTTTTGCCATATTCAGAAGTCTGTTACTTCTATTACCAAGAGGTTCACTGTAATTTCCCTTTTTTAAATTTAATATGTCAAGCAAGTTGAGTCCCTACCATACATAAGGCAGTTTCTTTTATATTTTTGTCTCCAAAGTGTTAAGTTTTCAGAGGGAGGTATATAAAATGATTCTCCACATTGTTATTGCAGAAACTGGGCTCTTCTTCTTCTGTCCTCTGTGTGACATTTTTGCTACTGAACAACTTCTCATCTTAACCTCAGCGTTCTATTGCCTGTACCAGCAGGGCAGAAATGGTGATTAAAATATTACATCATCTGCTTAAGAGGCAGATTGGGGAAGGAAAGTTGAAGTATACGGTGATCATAAGGCAAAACCTAAACTTTTTTTTTTTGAGATTTTTTTTTTTTTATTTGAGAGAGAGAGAGAGAGGGAGGGAGAGAGAGTGAGAGAGAGCACAAGAGGGGGTAGGGTCAGAGGGAGAAGCCCGACGCGGGACTCGATCCTGGGACTCCGGGATCATGACCTGCGCTGAAGGCAGTCGCTTAACCAACTGAGCCACCAGGCGCCCAAAACCTAAACTTTTAAAGAAAACTACCCCAATTGACCTATGTGCAAAAACGTTCCTTCCATTGTACGACATCAGTATTCTCTACGGTGTCAGCCAGCTTTCATAAATAGCAAATAGACTACGAATCCTCTGGGAAAGTGATAGTGTAGATAAAGACCTGCTTGGAAAGCTTAGCTGCAGATTTATTTGGAGTTAAGAAAATAGGCTAGATAAGTTATGTGTTATTTTCTAAATGTACCTCTTATCACTCTGTTTTCACAGCAAAATATCTGATACAAAAAGATGTTAAAAGGAATTTAGCAATAATCTCACCTTGTAAATGTTCTTTGTTGTTGTATTGTTCCTTTTGTATTGCAATGCATGTTATATTACAACTTTCTAATTTGCTTACTGTTTGAGCACAAACCTTTTTCTTATTATAGTTTTTCTTATTTTTATCTTAATGACTACATAACATTTCAGAATGGCTAGCATATTGATATCCTTTTCAACTTCATGATTTTGTAGCGGACACAGTTTGCTTTGTAGTCATTACATTTGGAAGCCTCTTAATATTCATTTATGGTTTGGAAATTTTCTCGTGTTTACATAGTTCATATTTTTTAAAAAGATGAGATGCTTACTTTGGCTATATTTTTGTTTCATTTTTTATCTTTGAAATTATTCAGGACCGATATTCAAGGAAATGTGGATATTGGAGATTTGACCTGGGAGCAGAAGGAGAAAGTCTTGAGATTGCTTTTTGCAAAAATGAATGGTTTTGTTCCTAGGTAACTCCTTATTTCTGTAGTGAAATACCAAATTGTTATCAAACCTAGAAACCATATAGGAACAATGAACTTACTCTCACTTAGGATTAGAGGAATGGAAAAGGACCAAATATCAAGTGGTCATACTGCTTAGCACCTGCCACTCACAGAGATGAAGAATGGGAGATGAATGAATAAGCACAAAAATGAAAGATGAGTCAGAATTAAAGGGGAGAGGAAAGAGACAGCTTAGATGTTGTAGGTAATGCTTGCTGAGAAGGTACAATGTTGCTAAGCTGAATGAATGGTCACCGAAGAGAAGCACAGTAATTGTTAGGATTTTATTGGATTGCAAAGGTAAGTAAATGATTTTAAAGCTGATTATTAATCAAGAGAATGTCTAATACCAAGAAAAAGACTTAGAAAAGAAAACAGAAATCCACAGATATTCCAAGTAATTATTTTTAATGATTCATTTCACTCTCTTTCTCCTCTATGTTTTTTCGGTGACTGTAACACTGGCAGTGAACCATAAAATGGCTAAAATAAATCAACCACTTATTAATTGCTTACATGCTTGGTACTATGTTAGTTACTATGGGCATTCAAAAGAATTAAGAGACATTGCCCTTGATCTCAAAGAGTTTATAATCTAGTTGCCCAAGCAAAACCAAACAGCAAAGAAAAAAGTTAGGTGGCACAATAAAGTATCATCGGAGTTCAGACAGTATGTCAGTGGCCTATAGTAGTCAGGAAGACCGAAAGAGTATGACTCTGCGGGGTGCTTTGCAGGAGAGAGTAGTAGACAGAGTGGGAAGGGTACATCAGTCAGGGGGCTTAATACACAGCCTAAGCAGAAGCCGAGAGGTAGGAATGGAGCTGGGGTGTTTGGGGGACATTGAGGAAACACTTCCCAGCTTGAAGAAATTTGATGGTACCTTAAAAACCATGCAGAAAAACCCAAATCTTATGCCACTGTACATTCTAGAGTAGTGTTAACACACTTTCCTTTTCTGCCTTGAAAGAATACGAGGGCAATAAGCCCTACTCTCACACTGTCTCCCTGGAAGGGTATACAGGCCACTGTTCTCAGAGCTGACCTGAACCTGATGCAGTGACACGTAGGGTGGACCGCTGGACAGAAGTAGAATTGGGAACCTGCAGAAGCTGTCATGCTCCTCTGGACATGTGGTGGTGTGGATATAGGGAGGAATGGAAGCCATCAGAGAAAAGGGACAAACTGAGACACTGAGGAAGGAGAAACCGGACTTGGTGATAAAAGACAAAAGGAATAAAGAAAGCAAAGTGTAAAAGTTTAAGGTGTTTGGCTTAGAAATGCAAGAATGGCGGTATGAAAGGCAAATGAAAAATCTGGAAAGCCAGCGTGAGGGAAATGTTTAAATTTTGTTTAATCTGTCCATGAATTCATGTAGCATATACATATTGGGTACCTACTACTTATTGAGGATAATAGTGTTGAGCAAATAAAGACATCATTCCTAATCTCAGAGAGTTCATAGTCTACGTGGAAGAAAAACATTATTCAAATCATCACACAAATATGAAAGTAGAACTATGACATTGGCTCAAAGGAGTGGTTTATAGCGGTAAGAGAGCCTAGATTAGGGGAATCTGACCTAACAGGAGTTCAGGAAAGTTTCTAAGGAAGTAAAAGCTTGAGCTGACCTCTAAAAGGTAAATAGGAGCAGAGGGTGGGGGAAAAAACATTCTGGGCAGAAAAAATAGCAAGGAGTTTTCAGTTTGAATTGGAGATGATGGCAATATATTGAAGTGAAAAATACTCAAGGCATTTGTAAATAGGGACTGGCGTACAGGTGAGCTTAGGGAGGGAGATTTGAGCATTTTTAGTGAAAACTGGTAGTTGAGTGTAGGAGAGTGTCTGAAGGTTAGAAGAGTAAAGGGCTGAGGCTAGGAATAACCACTAAAATAAACAAGAGGACAACGAAAAGAGCAGAGTTTAAAGAATTATAGGGTAATGGAGAATGGAGGACTTTGAATGGCCTTTCCAAAGTTTTGTTTTTTTGTTTTTTATTAAGAGGTAGAGGCAGAATCCAGACCACAGGTACAGAATGTCTGTCTCATTGTGAGTAAACTTTTCTGTACCCCAAGAAACAACCAGAGTTCTAGTTCCATACTGTGTTGTTTTCAACACTGGAGAAACAAAGGAATTTGAGTAGAAATATTTCACACCAAAGCAATGAACTTAAGTCTGGCCACAATGGAACAAGTCTAAGCCTGTTGGAATCTCATGCCAGAGTTGGATGAAGGGAAAAGATGGGAATAGAATAGTGAAATGTGAGGTGAAGATGAGTTTAATGAGAAAGCTCAAGCCAGAGGGGAGAGGAATTAGATGATGAATGTCAAGGCAAGGACAGTAACTAGAAAGTTTATATGAGTTCAGTTGATTATATGATTGTGACTCTAACAGTATGATATTTTTCTTCGTGCTTAAAACAAAGTCAAGGAGTATAACCAATAAACTGTACTCTTTAGTGCATCAGCAATCACTGTGGCTATAACTCAGGTGCTAATAGTATCCAAAGTGCATTTTTTTTATGCATCATTATTAGACTATTTAATATGGCCATATTTTGAATGGGTTTATCCTGCTTTCATATGTACCTAATTGAGGACCAGTTTTAGGAGTAGAATATGTGTCTTTATCTGCTGGCAAATCAACCTATTATACTTTGTATAATCCTGTTAAGCTCACTTTCTGTTAAAATAGTGAATTAGTGATACGATTATTTCCTGTTCTTAAAACAGACTTTCCAGTGTAAAAGGAGAAATTTCATACGGGGTCTATCTCCATTGGGTAATTTTTCTATGTTCTGAGGTTTTTTTTGTGGGAAGGGAATTTTTCTGGCCATGTTTCTGATCAGTACTCTGGTTCAGTCTTAACCATCACCATTAATAGCTATTATTATGTGTATCATCATCATGATCATCTCCATATTTCCATTGAAGTTCAACATTTCTCAACTTTAAGAGGAAATAAGTTTATATTAACTTGCCTAACATTATGCTGCCTCTATGTATGTGTAAAGCTCAGTTTTGAAAATAAGAAGCTCATCCAACTGAAGCATTTCATTTAGCACTTTAAAAGTGTAGTTGAAATATGGGGCATGAGGAGACACTAACTCATTGTTAACTTTTACCTACCACAGGAAATACAGCCAGCGTTCTAGGCCCCCAATTCCAGACCATGTTATTCCTGATGATGGAGAGATAAAGGAATTTGGGTAAGAGCTCTCTTGACAAAGCAATGACTGTGAGCCTGATCACAACGGTTGTGGGGACATTTTATATGTGCTAGAACTGAGTGGGAGTTACATGACAAGTCTCTTGTTCTGAACCAAGTTCCATGTGTATGTGGTTGCTGACAGGTCTGTCATTTTGTTATTACTACAGGGATGACAGTAAGCTTCAAGATCAAACCTTCATCACTCAGCAAGTACCAATCTCAGACTCTTCTGGTGAAGTGATGATACCCAATATTCAGAAAGGATCACGAGAGTCTGACATAGTAAGGAGTCTGTAATCTAACCAAACAATACACATAGTAACTGATACTTTTCCCCATGCAACTTCTTGTTAAGTCATAGTGCTTTTCTCTACTAGCCAAGAGCTCTCAGGGATCAGTGAAATGAGTAATAACACTAGTATGAGATCGTGGACATTTTTATAACATATCTACACTATGGCAGGCATATTATACTTAATGCAAATGCACATTTGTGCCTCTTTTAGTAAATGTGGAAAACCTTTCACAATTGCCTTGTGAAATATACAGGCTAGCCGAAGTATGTACCATCTTTTATGTGAGAATAAATATAATGACCACATAACTCTTGGCTTTGAACAGAGTTGGGAAGTCTGAGTCCCTACAAGCTAGGGACAAAGGTATTATTAGGAAAGGCATTATTAAAAAATAAAAAAGCCAGGTTTTCTTTTTAGGAGCTTTTTATTTGTAATTTGTTATTTATAATCAATTAGCACAACATAGGATCTCAGAAATTTCAAATGAGGCCACATCAGAGCAAAAAGAAAATAAAACACTAAATTTTTAAGCTGCTACTAGTGTGTATATAACTGCAGATTTTTTTCCATCTAAGAAACAAGAAACTCATTCTAAGTAGCAAGTAGCTAGCCAAATGAGTTGATTCCAATTAGAGCAACACAATTCTGATGAGTCAGTATTTTTTTTTTTTTTAAAGATTTATTTATTTGACAGAGAGAGATAGCGAGAGAAGGAACACAAGCAGGGGGAGTGGGAGAGGGAGAAGCAGGCTTCCCGCGGCGCAGGGAGCCCGACGTGGGGCTCGATCCCAGGACCCTGGGATCATGACCTGAGCCGAAGGCAGACGCTTAACGACTGAGCCACCCAGGCGCCCTGATGAGTCAGTATTTTTAAAAAAGTGATTTCCCTTAAATATAAGGAAAACTTAGGAATCTCTGGGATTATATTTAATTCCACTTGGAATTTAGACAATATGACCTTTCATTCAACCCAGCCTGTAGTTGTTGGATTGGATTAAATATCACTACCAGTTGCCAGCGGTGATAAGTAGAGATAAAACAAGGGGTATTCTATTACCAAATTAAACATTTTTACTGCCTCATGTCTAGGAAGAAAAACAAAAAAACAAAAAAACCACCCCAAAACCCACAAAACCCACTAGGGTCATAAATGTATAAGTTCCAGTCACCTTAAATGAAGATTCTGACATTCTATCTAGTAGTGGTAGTAATAAGCTTAAAATCCACAGAATGCACAAATGTTTTCAAAGTTTTTACAATCCTTAATTCACCAAATCACTGCCACGGGGCAGATTAACATTATCCAAGTGACTAATGAGGAAGCAGAAAAATAAATGACCTATGTCATCTGGCTGAGGACCAGAGATTATTCTCTTAGAGCCAGCAGCCTTCTCCTAGTTCACTGGGTAAAAACTGTATCAGAAAAAATTGATTCAACTGGGAATCTTTTTTTTAGCTCATCAATTTCTGTTCTGACTTAAAGTTTAGCTATATCAAAAGAAACAAAAAGCATAAAGACACTTGAATTAATGGTAGCAAAAGAATCTGTCAAAGCATTTCTTTTTTACTATTTCATGTCATGAAGAGCCTTGAAATTTCTTAGGCCCCAGGCAATTACTCTACATTAAGAGTTCTTTCATTAAAAATGATCACTAATGAGAAATGCAGGCAAGAAGAAAGAACAACATAAAAAATTCGGCAAGTAATATCTAGCTATACTTACTTAAGGCAAGAGTCCTGCACACTTTCATGGCTAGAATACCCCTTGATCTCTGGGCCTAAAAAACTTTTGAAATAGCTTTCTTAAACAAACTCCATTTGCATCTGAATTAATGACTGAAACATTAAGGACTGTTGAAGCCAAATCTGAAATTTAACACTTGGTAAACACAACAAAAAGTTGATTTATCCAGTGCGTACTGAGGTATCCTTGAGAAGTGATTTTAAGCAGGAACAGTGACAATGATAGAATTAGTGGTCATGAATCACTAGGACAAAGTGCCATTCAGCAGAAAAGAAAGCAGTTGTCACAACTGTAGGAAAATAGAAATGGATTATGTCCTGCGTAGTGTGGGATAAATGAGAGGCTCAAGAAAGCTTGGCAGAGGGGTCTCCCCCACTGCCATTTATATAGGACTGTGTTTGAGGATCAACCAAAGGGTGAATTATTTCTGTTCTATTTCCCCATCCAAGAGGTCCTCTTCTAGTTATTGGAAGATCTTTACATACACTAATCTTCCCTTTAAGTCATCAGAAAAGGGGAGAACTTCTAGAAAATAGGTCTCTGTTCTCATTCCATGTAAGCATTTCACAGGAAAAACAGTTACCTCAAAAACTGAAGTAAGAAGAGCAAGTGAAAATCTGGTTTCAGAGTTACACTAGGAATCTTCCTAGAGCAACTTTGCAGGGGCTAGTGGTCTTGAGAAAGATTTTAGTTACCAGGTATTCCAGTCCTAGGGTTCTGATTTGAGCAAAGTTGGCAAATGAAGTTGGTCAAGAATACAGAGATTACTCAGGGTGGACTGAGTCTAGAACAGACTTGTTTCTAACGGCCCATGGTAGGCATGACTACAGCAGGTGAGGAAAGAGTAGCATCTTCTTCTTTCCACTGAGAAGTGATGGTCTTTAGCTGTGTGTAGAAGTGGATGCCCTAAAGAGAACAAAGGGGAAAAAAAAATAGAGTTAGCATATATTCCTGAGGGTTTCATGATTTCTCTTTCAATCAACTTTTGAAGGAGGTGGTATGAAGTGCTACTCATGTTCCCACTTGAGGAATTGGTGCAACCAAAGTTCAACCTATTGTTCATAAGGTATATGATCTATTTAAAACATTTAGCATAATACCTCCCACATGGTAAATAGTCAAACCTTAGCTATCATTATGTTGAAACTAGTCAAGAGGATCTAAATGGAAAAACGGAACAATGTAATCTGTTAAACTTGCAGTTCATTCTTTTCCTAGGGCTGAATATCTGTGCTCTGAGGTCTTGGGACATGGCTCAAATCCTGCCTCTCCTCCTTATTGACTGCCATGTAACTTTGGGCCTTATCTGTGACCTACTGCCCAGCACAGCATTGCTGTGAGGGGAAAATAAAATGACCTACAAATATCCTAGCAAAGTAAATGTTACTCAGTAATTGTTAGTTTTTCTCTCCTTCCTGAGAAGAAGAAAAAGGCACAAAGGGATGAGATACATCTTAGGCCGTTTCTGACAACTGTCAGTGATAAATAGCTCTATACTGATGTAGCAAAATCCATAATATCATACAAATCTAAAGTAAAATGTCTGATATTATACACAATCACTTCTAAATCACCTATAATGTGAACCAAAAAAATTCAGCATATTTAAAACTTTATATATACCGTTTATTTTGTAAGAATAGGCTTGAGCAAAAAAGAATAGACTGTTAAGATCTAACACAAAAAACACTAACAAGCTAGGGGCGCCTGGGTAGCTCAGTCAGTTAAGCATCTGACTCTTTGTTTTGGCTCAGATCATGATATCAGGGTTGCGAGATCGAGCCCTGTGTGGGGCCCTGTGCTCAGCGAAGAGTCTGCTTGTCCCTCTCCCTACCCTCTGCTCCTCCCCAATTCCTCTCAAATAAATAAATAAATAAATAAATAAATAAATAAATAAATAAATAAAATCTTAAAAAAAAATACTACCAAGCTAGGAAGATACTGTTAGGAAAAAAAAAACAACTAGCTTGATTAAGATACTCTTTTAGAATTATTTGACAACACCTGGGTCATGTTAAAATATTGAAAAAACTTGAGAAATTTTTATCTACTTTCAAGTCTTCTTTCCAGGATGCAAAATAGCAATTTGACTACCTAAGAATTTAAGACTTCAAACTGTATATGGAGTCAGTCTTTTCCTTCAAGAAACCTCACTTACCAGGATGACTAACAGTAATTAAACCAAGACAGGGGAGAAAAAAAGAGTTTTACTCTGCTTCTCTCAAAAGAAATTTTTGCTAATAGCATCAAACTAGTCAATTCTACAAAACCTGTGACTAATGCACAAACTGAATAAGCTGCCTCTAAATAACCAAAATGTCTTCTTAACCAGTTGGTCATACTGTTACATTCTGCTGTGTGATGCACACTGTTAATTTTTTTATTGAACTATAAAAGAGACCTGTATAGGAAACATGTAATTTAATTACTGAAGGTTCCAAAATGGTTGTATCACTTTGGGGCTACAAAGAAGTTCCATTAGCCATTTGTTCAATACATATTTGGACACTTGCTCTGCGCCAGGTACTGTGATTAAGAAGTAAATAATAATTATGGTGTGATGAAGACTTCTTATCATGGCTTACACAGCCCGACAGGACTTTCCCTGCTTACCTCTCCAAACTCATCTCTTACCACTCTCCTTCTCATTCATTCTCTGTGCCCCAGCCCATTTCTGCTACTATTTGAACCTGCTATGCCTCTTCCTGCCTTAGGAAATATGTATCTGCTGAAGGATGTGGTAATAGTGATGATTTAATCTTACTAACCTTACGAATTATAGGTACTATTGTTATTCTCATTTTATAGATAAGAAACTTGAGACACAGGGTATTGCCCAACCTCACAGTTGATAACTGGATGAGCTGGAATTTGAAACCAGGCCATTCAGTTCCAGATCTGCTTTATTTTCCTCGTTCAGTGATGTATTTTTAGTGCCCAGAATAGAGTTTGGTACAAAGAAGATGCTCAGTAAAAATTTTGTAAGTGAATAACTTATAGGAGAAGAATGTGCAATGGGAACACACGAGAGCATACCCAACCCAGCACTGAGGAAGCGGGGGGAGGAGTCAGAGGTGATTTTCTGGAGGAGTCCATGCTTTAAACTTAGATGATTAAGAGTTAGATGAAAGAAGGGAGGCAGGAGGAGAGGATCTCAGGCAGAGGAAAGGATATACATGAAGGCTTAGATTTCCTCATGCTCTTTCCCCAAAACTTTGCTGCCTTGAGTTATTCAGGAAGGAGCAGCTTTGGCAAAATTTTGTTACCTTTTAAATCTTTTCTAGGGGACCTCCTGACAAGTGCTGCTGAACACGCCCCACAAAAGCTACTGGCAGGCCCTTCCTTGCAGAATCCTTGTTCCTGAGTATGTTCAAGAAACTTTCTTAGAGGAAAAAATGTTTTCTTACAGTTACCTGTTTGCCATAGAAATTGGTGTCTCCCCTGAAGGAAGATCGCGAGCCGGTGAATGAGAACATTGGCAAAGGCACTGGAATAGGGACATTCACCCCCACCTAAAGCAGAACAAATCCACATCCAGTAAAAGAAAAGGACTCAAACAAAGGAACTCGCCATCTAGAAGCACAAATGCCTGACATCACAGAGACCAGTTTTAAATACCCCAACTTCTACCCCATCCTGCATCCCATGCATGAACTTTGATTCCTAAGGAAGAAATGGGGCATCATGGGAAATGAGAGGGGCAGCGACTGATCACTTTACCATCTCCCTTAGATAGGAAACAGTACATGGCTACAAGAATCTCCTAAAAATCCTGTTCACAAACCTGTCCAACGTCCACCAGGTGGGAATATTTCCGAGCGGTGGCTCCATTCGTGGTGAAGATAGCAGTTCCGTTTCCATATGGATTGTCATTTACGATCTTGATGGCTTCATCCAAAGTGTCTGTCTCCAGAACCACAAGAACTGGACCAAAAATCTCCTCTTTGTAACAGGTCATAGTTGGCTGCCAGGAGTGATGCATCCAGAAAAGAAGTCAGTACTTGATGCTTATCTGGTACTTTATTACCCACTGTTTACATGGACAGCTTTCTTGTTAGGAACCTCTCTTCATTTTAAACCACCTTTAAAAAAAAAAGTCCTTTCCTGCTGTGTTCCATCTTCCAAGCTGCCAATCATATAAACAACTTGAAACTCCTATTAACAACAATTACACTCCTGTCTTTTAAGCCCTGTAGTTTTAGATTCCATGACCCATCACTAGTTTCCTCTTTTATACCTGCATAACCTGTTTATACAATTGTTATGTTACTGAAAGTTACATGAAAATTCATTTTTTATAAATCAAATATATGTTGAAAACACCGCAGGAGTGTGTTTCTGTTTAAAGAAAAACCTGTGCTAAGTTTTCTGTAACATAAACAATTCATTCTCATTCACTCCTTTGCCTCCGAAACGAGTCTGTACAATTACATTTTGATATCAGGTCACATTAAACATTCAAAACATCCTTCTCCACTGCAGCTAGTCAGCTGTGTTTGTTGCTAATAAGTGGATTTTCCCCCTATGGTTCTGTGACTAGAGATTTCATAATTTCTACTACACTACATTCAACTCTTAATTATTCAGGATTATAGTAGGATTAGTGGGGACATATGAATTTCAAAAAAAGCCTCCTAACCTCAATTTAGTCATTAATTTTAGCTGAGAGACTTGCAGAGTTTCGATAAATAAAAGTTGAGACAGCAATTCTTTTTCTTTTGTATCTTTCTGGTGAAGATGCAGCACAGAGTAGCTACTCAATAAATACTGAGTGGTTGAGAGATTGATGGAGACACTGCAATAGCTACAAGCTGGACAACAAGGAGTGGGAAGACAAAAACTAACATTAAATACGTAAGGAACAAATGTAAGATAGGGTTAGCAAAATATGGCCTATGGGCTGAATGTGGCTTGCTGTTTGTTTTTGCACAGCTCACCAGCTAAGAATGGTTTCTGTGTTTTTTAAATGGCTGCAAAAGAAATCAATCATGACGTGAAAAATGATTTGAAATTAAAATTCCATTGTCCATAAATAAAGGTTTATTGGAACACAGCCACACAATGTTAACGTGCTTTCGCACTAAAACGTCAAGAGTGAATAGTTGTGACAGAGACTGTATATCCTTGCAAAGCCAAAAATATTTACTATCTAGCCTTTTATGGAAAGTTTGCCAGCTGCTGGTATAGTGGAAGGAGGCTGGGAGTCAGGATAGGATACTCATTCAGACTGTAGATAATATAACTGAGGAATCCTGGCAAGAGCCGAGGTCTCAGTTAATTAAATGTCTTCATTTATAAATTGGAAGGATGAGATTCCATAGCCTCTAAGGTGCCTTTAGTGCTCCTATTTGTGAAATAAATAATCCAGAGTTGTTCACCTTGACATTTGAGATGATGGTTGGTCCAACAAAGTTGCCATTTTCATAGCCTTTGACTTTAATTTTTCGACCATCAAGAAGGATAGAAGCTCCCTCCTTTGTTCCACTATCAATCAGATTACAAACTCGCTCTTTGGCCTGGGGGGTGATCAGAGGGCCAAGATCAGCTCCAGGTTGGTCTCCTGTAAAACAACACAAAAGTATTTAAGGTCTTCATTATAAATTATGACTGTTAACCAAAGATGAATCCAAATGGCAAGTACAGCATAAAGAGAGGCAATGGTTAAAGAGTAGACGTGATTACTCCCATTAGTCAAGGCCAATGCTAAAACCAAGGACTCAGTGCCACAGATGCAAAGTCTAAAGGAGCAAGGCAGATAACAGATTACCCGCATTGACTCTCAGGTTTTTGGCACGCTCCACCAGCTCTGGCAGCCACTTCTTAGCTTCTCCCACAAGGATTGCTGTGGAAAGAGCCATGCAGCGCTGACCAGCAGCTCCAAATGCTGCCCCAACCAGCTGGTTCAGGGTGTTTTCCTTATTGGCATCTGGCATGACTACCCCATGGTTCTTGGCTCCCTAAGGAAATACAGAAAGTACATGAATCTTCCTTGGCAAAATATAATTAGGCTAAGAAATTAAGTGAAGAATCTGAGATTTCAAATGAGAATTTAAGAATAGGGAGAATTTACCCTTTATTTAAAGCTTTGAGGTTAGATTTATTATCATTTTGATACTGCTGAAGTCATGGTAGCATAGAGTCTCCAGGTTACTTTTTTTCCTACTTTCTTAGCTGATAAGCTGATATGTGTTTATTTAGATCAAAACCATTACCAAAAAACAAAACAAAACAAAACCTTCAGCCATATCACATTCAGTTAAACTGACAGGCTAAATACTGCATTGGGGAACCAAGAACTCCTCTTTCCTAAGTTAGACAGGAAACAGTCTTTTGTCTGCTGGGACTTCCAATTATATGAATAGCAATGTAAACAAGGAGCTGCCAGTAATAATGCCAGTGGCTAGCTGTAAGGCAAACTAGGTGGACCTCTTGATACACCATTTCTGGAAAGAGGTTCCCCAGATTGGCTTGCTTCTAGATACAGAGCCTCATGATACACAGCTATGTAGGATAACATGGTCATTTCCATACATAGGTTTCCAGATACAGCAGTCCCCCCTTATCCATGGTTTCACTTTCCACAGTTTCAGTCACCTGAGGTCAACTGAGGTCCAGAAGCAAATGATCCTCCTAGAGCTATGTCACAATACCCACGCCATTCACCTCACTTCATCTCATAATGTAGGCATTTTATCATCTCACATCATCACCATCATCAGAAGGGTGAGTAAAGTATAAGATACTTTGAAAGAGAGGCCGTATTATTACAGTGTATTGTTAAAATTGTTCTATTTTATTGTTAGTTATTATTCTCTTACTGTGCCTAATTTATAAATTAAAATTTATCTAGGTATGTATGTATAGGAAAAATATAGTATACATGGAGTTTATTACTATCCAGATGCAGGGATCCACTGGGGGTCTTGAAACGCATCCCCCACAGATGAAGAGGGACTACAACTATAAGGGAGTGCATGGATAGATACCATGTCTGCTACTTAATTTTATCCCATTACACATAGTATATTGTTAGACATAGAATACACTCAATAAATATGTAGTGAACTGGGAGGGACTTAAGTCAAATTGGCCAAAAGACATTCAGGCACAAAAAGAAGTAAGTAGGCGTATCAGGAATAGTTTCCAAGCTTGTGCATAGGTGGCTCTCCTTTCTGCAACGGTAACCAAAGGGTGAGAAAGTGGCAACTGGACTTTATATTTAGTATCAAAGAATTACTATGTATTCGGCAAGGAGCTAGTAAGAGAACAGCAAAACTATGCAACCAAGTAAACTGCACTCACATACAGGGATATCTGGCTCTTTCCAGTACCTTAAATAGCTTGGACTCTTAGGAAAAGCATATCTTACATTATAGTAGTTAGGATATGCGTTGAAAGGAAGGAAGGATAAAGGGCTACAAAGCATGGTATGAAGAAAGATACAGGGCCAGAATCAGAATCCAGCTGTTACTGCTAAAGCCCAAAGAATCTGAATAACATTCTTAGGGAGAAAGGTGCCCTTTGTCATCAAGATTAGGTGTATAAGATAAAAAGGTAATTAAAGTGACTTAGGATAAAACTCATCACAAGGTTCATGGCTAAAGGGAAGACATTCAGGATGAAATGGAAATAAAGACATTAGAGTGGGATAGTAGCCCCTCTGCTGAAGGGCTGTTTGTAGGTAGTTTTCATACATAAAACAGATTTAGGGGGAAAAGGAATAGGAAGTCACCATATTGGCTTGAACTCTCTTGCCATGTCTTGACCCTCTCTCGAAGATGTACTCTCCTGCCTGGTTGGATCCCACAAAGCTGATTGCTTTGATATCCGGATGATCACAAATGAAGTTTACAGCTTTAAGAAGAAAAGAGATATTACCACAAAGGAACAAGTGGCTATGGGCTTCTCAACATGGCAAATTTCCCCTTTCCTGCTCTTGTGAATGAGAAGTTTCCATACTTTTATTTTTCTATCCTGGATTCCCATTTTGAAGTTCTTTCCATCTCTTAAATTCTTTTTTTTTTTTTTTTTAAGATTTTTCATTTATTTATTTTATTTGAGAGAGAGTCTGTGCACATGCGGATGCATGCACATGAGTGGGTGGGGGAGGGTAGAAGAAGAGGGAGAGGGAGGGGAAGAACCCCAAGGAGACTTCCTGCTGAGCATGGAGCCCAATAGAGGACTCTATCTCATGACTCTGAGATCATGACCTGAACCAAAACCAAGGGGTGGGGGATGGGGGGCCGCCCTGGTGGCGCAGTTAAGCCTCCAACTCTTGGTTTTGGCTCAGGTTGTGACCTCAGGGTTGTGAGATCAAGCCTGGCTCAACCACCAGGCTCTGCGCCAGCATGGAGTCTGCTTGAAATTCTCTCTCCCTCTCCCTCTGCCCCTCCTGCTCGCACTTGCTCTCTCTCTCCTCTCTCTCTAATAACACATCTTTAAAAACAAAAAAAATCCCAACAGTCGGGCTCCTAACTGACTGAGCCACCCAGACACCTCTGTCTCTTCAATTCTTTAAACTACTAATTATTATTTGGCTCTTCCATTTCATTATTTTTCTCATTTGCTATTTCTACTTCTAATTCCAAAGGCTACAACTCCTGTTTTCCTCCAAAATAGCAGCCTTTTAATACTCAACTCTTCCTTTTATCCTTTAAGAATGTGATATTTCCTTAACTGTCACTGTATACTAGGACTCTCAAATACTATTGTGCCCTCATGTGAACAGCAATATAGCATAGTATTTAAAAGTAAAAACCAGAGTCAGCCTTCCTGGGTACTGACATTCTGGCTGTGATAGTTTCTAGCTGTGTGACTGGGCATATTACTTAATTTCATTATGCTTCAGTTTTCTTATCTGTAAAATGGAAAAACAACAGTACTCACCTTGAGGGAATGTTATAAAGATTAAATGAGAGAATATTTGAAAGGCACTAGAAACAGTGCCTGAAACACAGAAGTGCTTTTTAAGTGTTAGCTATTACTATGTGAATTAGAATGTCTTCAGTCTCTCTGAGATCTATAAATTCTCTCAGTACTGAAGAGAAAACTTTCTCTTTTATCTGTGCCTTACCCTAATCTATACTCTTTGTCTCAATGTATTCTGTAGGGCAAGAAGCATTGCTACTCTGCAGTTAATTACCTTAGCACACAGAGATGTATCAACAAACATTACCTTCAAAATGGACATTACTATTAGTAAATCCCTTCCTCCCGAGATTCCTCATCCTAAAACCACTCAACCTTCACCACTCAACACCTTTATTTTTTTGGTGGCCAGATTAAGTGCCATGTACAGAAGGGCAGTTACCTTCATGTTGTCCATGGAGGATATTCAGTGTTCCATCTGGGGCACCAGAGTCCTGGAGCAACTTAGCAAGAAGCATGCTTGCTCCAGGAACTCGCTCTGATGGTTTCAGTACGAAGGTATTTCCACACACCATGGCCATGGGAAACATCCAAAGGGGGATCATGGCAGGAAAGTTGAATGGAGCAATGCCTGCACATACCCCCAGAGGCAGACGGTAGGAATAAAGGTCCATATCTTTGGTGATGGATGGCATGGTCTCTCCCAGCATGAGGGACGTCACACTGCAGGCATGCTCAACCACCTCTGGAACAGAGAAGTAGTCAGACCACCAGCTCTCCACTGTGAACTACTCAGCTGTGTCATGCTCTAGTCATTCCTGAGGCTAGAGAATGGCTCAGGCCAATGACAGAGGGAAGAAACACTGACTTGCCCTTCCACATGAAGGAGATGGGCAAAATGAGATTCTCCAAATGGGGAAAAAAGACAGTGATATGCATATACCTACTGGAAGATCAAGTAAAATAAATGAAGTAAATTGATCTCCTACATACCTGAGAAGTATTGCCATTTTCCACAAGTATTAAAAAAGATATCATGGGGTAGCAAAATCTACATAGAGGAAGAAGTAACCTCCCATTCTGAGATCTTTGCCTCCCATCTTTCTTTGCTCCTTCCCAAAGGGTTCCTGAACTTCCCTAAGAGGAACCCCCAGCTTACGAAGGCCTCGGAATATGTCTCCTTCAGCATCAGCGAGGGTCTTCCCTTGTTCCAGCGTGATTAGCTTGGCAATTTCTTTCTAGAGAAAAAAACACACAAATAGAAACCAATGCAAGGATGTGCCTCCTTGTAGTTCTTAGGTAGCCAAGGAAGAACAAAACTGGGGGAGAGGTAGTACAAGGGAGAAAGCCATGATTTGTGTCTTTCTGGATTGTAGAGTTATGGAGGGCAGCTGAAAGGGCTTCTGTGGGTGTGACAAGTATCCTAGGCAACAGTCTGGAAAATGATACCATTCTGATTTCTTACCAAGTTTTCTTTAATGAGTTGTTGATAGCGGAGCAGAACCTGCTGGCGGCTTAACACTGAGGTATCTGCCCATGCAGGAAAAGCACGTTTGCAGGAAGCAACAGCTGCATCCATTTCAGCCTTGGTGGCCTGAGGAACCCGACCAATGACCTCATTGGTGGCCTGATAGGAAAAAGCAGCACATCACACCTTTGCCCCTGCTCTACCTTCTCCATTTTTCATCTAGTCACAGAAGCAGCACTCTGTACTTCACATGACAGACAGCCAGGTCCCTCATTTCCCACCACAGTCCCAGAATTCTAGGCTAGCCAGCTTAAGTCCCAAAGCAGCTTTGCTTACTGGGTTGTGGATGTCAGTCCATTTGTCACTTTTGGATTCAACAAATTTCCCATCAATGAAGAGCTTTACAGTTGGCTGGAAAAGAAAAACCCCACAAAACTTTGTATCAGTTAATTGCTTCTCTCCCTTTCACAAAGAGGAAGGAATTCAGGGTTGATTAGTGAATCTTCTGTTCTCTAGAAATGTTACCACTGGAAAGAGATACACAATGTACTTGTCTATAGTGTATATTAAGATGTGGCTGAGCCTCTCAATACTATCATCTCTCTGAGAAAGGAAAATTCCCTGCTATCACAGTGTGGAACTTTATGTCACTTTGAAGTTTTTTTTTTTTTTTTAAAGATTTTATTTATTTATTTGAGAGAGAGAGAATGAGAGACAGAGAGCATGAGAGGGAGGAAGGTCAGAGGGAGAAGCAGACTCCCCGCCGAGCAGGGAGCCCGATGCGGGACTCGATCCCGGGACTCCAGGATCATGACCTGAGCCGAAGGCAGTCGCTTAACCGACTGAGCCACCCAGGTGCCCCTCACTTTGAAGTTTATACTAAAGAAGTAGCAGCTTCTATGTTAACAAAGATTAGCTAGTATGACTTGTTGCCCAGCTGACTTTCTGTCACGTCACCATGAGCATGTACTACCTTTATGATCAAAAGATTTTTTTTAAAAACAGTTTTGTCTGTGTGTAGTTCTTCTGAGAAGTAGCTTGCTTACATTAAATTTCCAGAGGGGGCTGTGGACCAAAAAAGGTGAAGGACTACTGTGTTACAGTGGGTGCTTCTAAATAAAAAGGATTTTGAGCCCCTATCCTTATTTATTAGATTTTAGGTACTGCAAATGGCTGACAGTTCTATAAGAACAATTTTTAAAGATTGTGAAGAAGAGGACAACTATCTGGCAGGATCAATAAAACCCCTAGAAGCCATGAAAATGTCTGTATTTTTTGACAGAGTGATCTTACCTCAGAAGGGAAATAATCTAAAAGAAGGAAGAAACTATATAAGTAAATGTTTGCTTTATAATATTGAAAAACTGAATCAATCTAGGTGTTATATGGGAACACTTTTAGTTAATTCTGGCTATATATACTTGATAGAATATTATGCAGCCATTAAAATGATAACTATAGGGGCGCCTGGGTGGCTCAGTCGGTTAAGCGTCTGTCTTTGGCTCAGGTCATGATCCCAGGGTCCTGGGATTGAGCCCTGAGTCAGGCTCCCTGCTCAGCAGAGAGCCTGCTTCTCCCTCTCTCTCTGCCTGCCGCTCTGCCTACTTGTGCTCTCTAGTTCTCTGTCAAATAAATAAATAAAATCTTTAAATAAAAAAAATCATAACTATAAAGAGCATTTTGCAATACTGAAAATGTTTATGACATATAATAAACATAATATTAGATAAGAAAGCCAAGATAGAAAATTTCATGTATATTCTGATCACGATTATGTTAAGAAGGTAAGTGGGAGGGGCGCCTGGGTGGCTCAGATGGTTAAGCGACTGCCTTCGGCTCAGGTCACGATCCTGGAGTCCCGGGATCGAGTCCCGCATCGGGCTCCCTGCTCGGCAGGGAGTCTGCTTCTCCCTCTGACCCTCCCCCCTCTCATGTGCTTGCTCTCTCTCATTCTCTCTCTCTCAAATAAATAAATAAAATCTTTAAAAAAAAAAAAAAAAAGAAGAAGGTAAGTGGGAATACCCCCAAATTATACTGTATTCCTTCTCAGAAGTCCAACTTTAGTGCCAAATAAACTTACCACTGAAGAAGAGAAGGAGGATGCTGGATACCAAGTGGAATTCACCTTGGAAGAGACCTATGAAGTAAAAGAACGATTATTTTGGTAAATGAGAGCAGAACATTATTAAAAACTTAGCAAATGGCTACCATATACTTAACATTACACTAGTTACTGTGGGTATATGGAAAAGGACTCAGTGTTTGCTCTTAAGGGTCATATAGTCTTTAAAGAGAAAAGATATCAGACTATGAGGTACAGCAAACTATGAGAAAATAAGAAACCATAATGATCATGTCCTCAATTTCCAGGACAGTCCTAATTTTAAAATATTTTTTTTTATTAGACCATATTTTTCTAATTTTTGGCCTGGAAAATGGTAGTCCACAAATCTTAACAATATGAAAACTCTTAGATGGCATCTAACACAATAGGTGTCAAATGTCAGATAGTATATAACCAAGTGTCAAATGTAAGTATAAGATGCCCATATAAATACTTGAACACAAATGCTCATAGCAGCTTTGTAATAGTCCCAAACTTCGCCACAACCCAAATGTCCACCATTGGATGGGCTGCATAGGGAAACTAATGAGGTATAATCCATACACTGTAACAGTACTCAGCAATGAAAAGGAACTATTATACATGCAATAACAGGGATAACTACAACAATTATACTGGGTGAAAGAAGTCAGACATAAAAACTACACACACACACAAATAAATAAATAAATACATAAACCGTACACACTGTATGATTCCATTTATATAAAACTAGAAAATGCCAACAAATCCATAGGGTTAGAAAGCGGATCAGTGGTTGCCTGGGGATGGTGGTGGAAGTGCAGAAGATGGGGTAAGAGGGAACATTTTGGGGTGATGGATATGTCCCCTATCTTGATTGTGATGATGTTTTCACAGGTGTATACAAATATAAAACTTATCAAATGGTGTACTTTAAATATGTACAGTTTATGTCAATTTTATTTCGAGAAAGCTGTTTAAAAATGCCACATGTAGGAAAAGAATGTGTTGTACAGGTAACATTTAATAGGATATAATCAGCAAGTTGGGGGGGAGGGGTCAGTTACAATAAAAAACTCCTCATTTGTATATATGCTATGGAAGTTGATTTAAGAAATATTCAAGTCAAAGTGAGAAAACTGAAGCACTTGGAATGGGATATAAAGGAAACCGTAATCTAATAATCTTTTATCTTGTCTGAAGACAGGCATGTTAACCAAAGGGTTTAGGGCTACCTGAAGTGCAAGAATTTGTGTTCCTGCAGTACTGTCCAGGGGAAAGGATGCAGGTCCTTTGGGCCAGCAGACAATTCTTCCAAATGCCTCATCTACTTCCTCACCCATTCCCCACAAAAACTATTTCAAACTAAACACTCTTGGGGAGTCCACCATGTCTTATTTATAGCCATATTCCCAATACCACCATGGTACCTGGTACATAGCAGGTGTCTAACAAATATCTATAGAACAAATGAAAGGTCCACTGGGTGGCTGACTGCCCCCACCCCAGACTAGGTTAGCAGCTAGTACTTGCCCTGTCAGGTTTATCTGTCCATGTTGTAACTGCCTGGGTACTTGTCTGTTGCCCAAAAGACTGAAGTTCCACGAAGGTAGGTGCTCCATCTGTCTTGTTCCCCTATTCTACAGTTATTGTGATCAATGCTGTCCAGATATGGAAAACAGTAAGTTGTGGGTGCTCGTTCAGCGTTACTCTTATATTTTATACTTTTTGCTCTCTCTCCTTGCTAGTTCAAAACTTCTCTTATCTCCTTGCTATTCTCTCACATCTCCTTGCTTATCTCTATCTCCCTGCTACTTATTTGCTCTTACTCCTTGCTATTTCAAAGCTTCATCTCACTCCTTGCTATTTCAAAATGTACTCTCTTAAAACTTCCAGACCTGCTGCTTCCCCTCTCACTCTCAAGAGCTGACCTTTGTTATTACTACTTCATAGGGAACAGAAGCCATCAGATGAGAACTTCAACTTCTTACTAGCAAATCTACAAAACTGACCTATACCTATCCTTTTTTCCTCCCTTCCTCTTGTAAGGAAGCAATTAGCTAGCAAGCTCCATGGGGACTAAGTGGCTGGGAGACAGAAGTGCACAACTAGCGTCTGTGGACTGACTGACGAGGTTCCTGTCCTCCAACTGCAGGCTATCTCTGTGCCTGTGGTCTAAAGCCCACCTTGCCTGCTACCCCAGACACTTCCAATTACCCTTTCTTTCCTGAAACTTAAACCTCTCTCCATCCAATAGCAAGGATTCTCTTTGCTAATTACCTTATTTCCTCATTTCCCACTAACTCTTCAGTCCACTCCAAACTTCATGACTAAACACCAGTGACTTCCTACATCCCATGGGTTCTTCCCAGTCCTCCTGTACTGGACTTTTTCACACCCTTTTCACTTGTCTTCAGGGATGTCCTGATATCTCTTCTGCCACTTCTCTGCCTTCTTTGCTGACTCATCCTCTGCTACCTGGCCACTAACTAAATTCCTCAAGGCCTGGTCCTAGGCCTTCTTTTCTTATTCTGCACATTCTCCTTGGATGATTTCATCAACTCCTGTGGCTTGATGGTCTAGATTCTGATGATGCCCAAATCTGTAGTTCTTAGCCAGCTCTTCCTTTTCAGATAATACCCACCTAACTGTCTTCACCACGCCTCTACATGGATGTTATTTAGGTGCACACTGAAAAAGCTGAACTCCTCACCTTTCTCGGAAGGGGGCCACTATTCACCTAGTTACCCAAGAAGAAACCTGAATGCCATCCCAACTCCTCCCTCTCTCTCTCTCCACAGTGAATCAAACAAATCCTGGCAATCTGTCCTCCTAGAAGTCCTTGGAACACAGCCCTTTTTCTCTGCCCCTCCTGCCATCACCACAGTCTCTATCATTGTTGTCTCTCACCTGGACTTCAATAAGTGTTTCCTAACATATCTCCCAGCCTCCAATCTTAAGCTTTCTGAATCTGGTTTCCTACCCCATAGCCAGAGGGGTTTTCTAAAACACCAATCTGGGCAGATTACTCCCTTGTTTAACCAACTGAGCCACCCAGGCGCCCCGATTACTCCCTTGTTTAAAAAGCTCCACTGGCTTTCCTCTGTTCTTAGATAAAGACTAATCTTGATGTTGCTTAGAAGACTTCACACAGCATCTTTACTTCTCTAGTTTCACAGCTGGCCACTTCCTCTTTGCTGTCTATGCTGTAGGCATTTAGAACATGTTTTGTGCTCTCTCTGCCTGTATACATGCTGCCCCTTCCTGCCTGGAATTGTTTCATCCCATTTGCTTGGCTCACTCCTACTCCTTAGCTCTCTATGTAGCCATCATTTTGGGTATTAGTGCAGGTCAGTTTTGTATGTTCGCTAGTAGGAAGTTGAGGAAGTTCTCAACTGATGGTTTCCATTGCCTCTGAAGTAGGAAAAACAAGGTGAACTTCTGAGAGTGATAAGGGAAGTAGCAGAGTCAGAAGCTTTTAAGTCACAATTCAAGTCTAGGCCCAGCACCAGATTATAGCGCTCATATGACACCTAAACTCCTCTATTTCTTATACCACACTGTGGAATAATAGTTTGTTTAATTATTAAATCTCTCTCCCCTTAGAGCACTAGATGGCTGTGTCCTCAGCCCCTGGCACCATTCCTGGAATAGAGTAAGCATTCAGTAGTATTTTTGCAGAATGAAAGAATGAGTACTCACCAAGCAATCATTTGGTATTAATTATGTTTCATGTATACTCTCTTACAGGGCAGAAAACGTACAGCTCAGCCAACATGAGCATTCTAGGCCACTTAGTTCTTAGTTTTATTTTTTCACTTGCACACAGTCTCCCTGCCGTTAAGAGGGCATAAAAGGCACTGCATCTGGCATAATAAAATATTAGCATATTGTTTTTGACAGGTTGGATCTCCTATCTTCATTTCCTAAGAAACACTCACTGTTGCTGAAGAAACTATCCTCCATCCAGTCACACCAAAATTCTTCCTCTCTAGATGTTTATTTCATACTTGCTAGTTCCTTTATCAGGCACTCCATTTTCCCTCTGGCTGAAGGTCTGCTAGTCTTGCAAAACTCAAGCCCGGAGCGAACTCCTTTTGGAATCTTTTCCTGAACTGAACAAGTTGAATTTGGGATAGTTTCCCTACAGCCCTGCAGTACTCTGTGCACTCCTACTGTTACCACTTACCATTTCATTATAATAGAGGAGCTTTCAGTGAGTGTTGTACTTCCTTCTCCTATCCCAAAGCCTGGGGACAGTGCAGTGCTTGACACAAAACGAGATACCAAGACTTAAGTCCCAAATTCTCAGCCCATCAGTCACCAGTTGGGAGACCTTGGATCACCTTAACTGTCAGGTCATTTACTTTATTATATTCATGAATTCCAATCTTCACAAATATTCTTAAAACTAGAAAGTGGTGGAGATGGAGGGGTGAGGGCGTGCCTGGGTGGCACAGTTGGTTGAGCAATCTACTCTTGGTTTTGGCTCAGGTCATGATCTCACAGTCGTGAGACTGAGCCCAGCATCAAGCTCCAAGCTCAGTGTGGAGTCCGCTTGAGATTCTCTCTCTCCCTCTGCCCCTCCCCCTGATCGTGCTCTCTCTCTCTCTGAAATAAATAAATCTTAAAAAAAAAAAGTGGTGGAGCTGGGAAAGAATGCAAGTATGATTGTAAACCCTGTACTCTTTTTTTTTTTTTAAAGATTTTTTATTTATTTATTTGAGAGAATGAGATAGAGCATGAGAGGGGGGAGGGTCAGAGGGAGAAGCAGACTCCCCGCTGAGCAGGGAGCCCGATGTGGGACTTGATCCCGGGACTCCAGAATCATGACCTGAGCCGAAGGCAGTCACCTAACCAACTGAGCCACCCAGGTGCCCAACCCTGTACTCTTTAAACCACATCACGGAGGCAAATCAAAGTGTCTTTAAGGCCGGTTTTCTTTTTTTTTTTAAGATTTTATTTATTAATTTGACAGAGAGAGAGATGGCGAGAGCAGGAACACAAGCAGGTGGAGTGGGAGAGGGAGAAGCAGGCTTCCCGCCGAGCAAGGAGCCCGATGTGGGACTCGATCCCAGGACCCTGGGATCATGACCTGAGCTGAAGGCAGACGCTTAACGACTGAGCCACCCAGGTGCCCCAAGGCTGGTTTTCTTATCTCTGAATGTGAGCGATAAACCCATTGTAAGTTGAAAATGCATTTAATATACCTAACCTACCAAACATTACCGCTTAGCCTAGCGTACTTTAAACTGTTTAGAACACTTACATTAGCCTACAGTTGGGCAAAATCATCTAACACAAAGACTACTTTATAATGAAGTGTTGAATAGCTAATGTAATTAACTGAATACTGTTCTGAAAGTGAAAAACAGAATGTTTGTATGGGTACAGAATGGTTATAAGTGTATCAGTTGTTTAACCTCGTGATCATGTGGCTGACAAGAGATGTGTGACTCCCTGCACCAGCCCGCGTCCCTCAAAAGGATCATACTGCATTTCACTGGGGGATGGGGGGCATAAAACTCAAAATTCCAAATACAAATACATATTGCTTTCACACCACCATGAAGTTAAAAAGTTGTTTTTTTTTTTTTTAAATGAAGTCAAAAAGTTTTAAGTTGAGCCATTGAACATCAAGGACCATATGTACTTAAAATTACTGAAAACGAACTCTTTCCTTTACAGATCCTTTGATGATCCTCTGAAATTCATGACTGTCAGAATCTAGACTACTTTTTTTTTTAAAGATTTTATTTATTTATTTGATGGAGAGAGAGAGACAGCAAGAGCGGGAACACAAGCAGGGGGAGTGGGAGAGGGAGAAGCAGGCTTCCCGCCGAGCAGGGAGCCCGATGCGAGATGTGGGGCTCGATCCCAGGACCCTGGGATCATGATCTGAGCCAAAGGCAGACGCTTAACGACTGAGCCACCCAAGTGCTCCTAGACTACTCTTTATCAAAGTTTCATGTTACAGTTACTCCTCTTTGGCTAAGGATTATTATTTCTGTTCTTTTCCAGATCAACTCAGAAGTTTCTTCAAATGAATCAGGAAATAGTGTGTGTTTCCACAATAAAATACATAGTAAGGAAGATTCCTCTCCTTGATTTAAAGGACAAAATACTTTCTTCCTTTTTTTTTTAAAGATAGGGAGAAGGTTGGGGAGAGGTGGGGAGTGGAAGAGAATCTTTAAGCAGGCTCTACCCCCAGCACAGAGCCTCCACCCCACAACCCCGAGCCAAAATGATTTGGACGTTTAACTGACTGAGCCACTCAGGCATCCCAGGGCAAAATACCTTCTTAAGGCTATCAGTGACTCACTGTGATGGTGGGGAGGCAAAGGAAAAAAGTCAATTTTAGTAAAAGATTTCAAGGATAAGTTGGTAAGGGAAATTATAGGGTAGAAATTTTATATCCCTATTACTAAAAAAAAAAAAAAAGGATACTAGAAAAATAGAACTAGGAGCACAGCAAGAAATAGTTGAATGAAGCCAGATTATCTGACAAATTCTTCCAGCCCATTCTCCATGCTGTCCCATTAAATAGCATTTAAACATGAACCTTTGCTGACTTTACTAAGAATCTTACAAATGTGTAAGTTTCTGCAGTAGAATTCACTGCAACCTGGTAAGTACTAATATTATCTAAAAGTCCATGGGGTGCCTGGGTGGCTCAGTCGTTGGGCGTCTGCCTTTGGCTCAGGTCATGATCCCAGGGTCCTTGGGATCGAGCCCCGCATCGGGCTCCCTGCTCCGCAGGAAGCCTGCTTCCCCCTCTCCCACCACCTCCCCCGCTTGTGTTCCCTCTCTCACTGTGTCTCTCTCTGTCAAATAAATAAAATCTTTAAAATATATATATAAATAAATAAAGTCCAGCAATATAGAGGAAGAAGTTCCCAGGATGGATGTAACAAGTAAGAAGGGCAATGTTGTTTCTTGTAGGTTGGAGAATGTTTCTGGCAGTAAATTTCCCCTTCTAAGTCCTTGCTAGGCTGTTAAAACTAGGGAAAGTCTGTGAACAGAGTTAGAAACCACAGGCCTCAGGCATGCAGGTCCTCTAGCTCTACCACCTCTCCTTAGGGTAGCTTCAGAAAGGACCCAATCCATGGGCCAGTGCTGAGGGTGTACTGATACACTAGGAGCTAACTTTGGGTTAGGAACTTGGAATTAACAATTCCTGTTTATTTTCTATCACCTGTTTTAGAGATGTCAATCACCTTTTCTTTTTTTAAAAAAGAGAATTATTATTTCTCTGTATGAGGTAGTTTTTTTTTTTTTTAAGATTTTATTTATTTGTCAGAGAGAGAGAGACTGAGCACAAGCAGGGGGAGCAGCATTTATGAGGGAGAAGCAGGCTCCCCGCTGAGCAGGGAGCCAGATGCGGCACTCGATCCCAGGACCCTGGGATCATGACTTGAGCTGAAGGCAGACGCTTAACTGAATGAGCCACCCAGGTGTCCCTCACCTCATTTTCTATCATTTTTTTTTTAAAGAGATGTTTAGTCCTTGGCATGTGCTTGGGACATACTGGTAGCACAACTATGTGTCCTTATTTACCACCAACATGAATACTGTAACTTTGCTAAAAGTCTAAGGTCTTGGCAAGAAAAGGAACAGTCTACAGCTTGTGGAAAATACAAAGAGCCACAGCTAGGGAAAACAGCTCAGAAAATAGCTGCTTTTGGGGAAAACCTGGTGTAAGCTTTCTAGAAGGAGATTCAAAGTTCATTCACTGACCCTCCCCCTCGTGTGCTTCCTTCCTTTACCATGGATTATGGACAGTGAAGTAGGGTGGGGGGAGGGGAACAATCTGGTAGCTCTGGACAGGAGAAAGAACTCTAACAAAGGTGACCAGAAAAGGGAATTTCTGGTGAGAGAGAGGGAATCACGGTTAGGGGACCACGAGAAGTGTGGGCAAGGGTGACGGACTCAGTGACTGACAGGGCTGGGGAGGGGACAGGGGGCCAGAGCCAGATAAGGAGAACCTCCCAGAGTAAAAGGGCAGCAGGCCAGGGGTGACAGTCCAGCATCCAACGAGGGCGGATAATAAGTGAGGGGAGGGATCGGGTCGCACGGGTCCGGTGGGAACAGGAAGGTTGGCGAAGAAGGGTTTTCTGGCTCAGAGAGTGGATGGAAAGGACGCAACTCCTAGCTTCGCGATCCCTCGGTACCACCCTCACTCGCCTGCAGGATCCGGGCTCGCACTGCCGCCGCTGCCACCACCGCCGCCGCCATGGTCCTCAGCCGCCTCTTGTCCTCCTCTACGTACCCCTACTGCGGGTGACTCCCCAGAAGCTCCACGGCCGCCAGGCCTAGCCCTCGCAATCCTGCCGCACCGCCTCATTGGCGGAGAAGACTATTTCCTCTACGCAGTCACTCGCCCTAACACCTGACTCCACCCCTCAGTCCCAGTCTTGGAGATATGCGATTGGTCAGAAGTGGAAGCGCCCTAGCCCCCTCCCACCTCCGCAAATTCTGTTGGCGGAGGAGGGCAGTCACCTTTGACTAGGGTACTCTGTATTGAGCACTCGGAGGAGACGCCCCCTAAACGGGAACCCGGATTGGCCACAGGGACGACCGCGGCCCACCCCCTCACCGAGGAAAGTAAATAAGACCCTTCAAGAACTTTGCAGTCGCTCCACCTCTTCCACCGCGCGAGGGAGTGTGGCCAGCACTGGGGGCGGGGCTAGCAAAGATTGCCCTATAGGGCGGGGAAATAAGACGGGGCTGCGAGTTGGGGATAGGGTTTCTTTGGGGGGCGTGGCTTAGGGATCCTTGCTTTCCCGCCGACGGTTGGCCGTCTCACGTGACATGGGTTGGAAAATGGCGTCTCCCACAGACGGTAAGAGCCGGCTTTGGGATTTTTCGGCTGCAACCTCCTTCTTTGCTCTGCTGAGGACTTCCACTCTCTTCTGCCCCTTAGACTTACGCTTTTTTTCCTTGGGCTCCAGCCCTTTCCTTTCCACTTTTCCTTAGGATGCGAGTGCGTCCTCAGGCTCGCCTTTTCTTCACAGCAGCTCTGGAGGTGCCCGGTTTCCCCTCTGTACCAAGAGGGTGGAGGAGGGCACCCTCGTGGGGCGCATTCCAGGCGAAAGGACGGGGGTCGCCCTGGCCCTGCTTCAGCCCCATTTGGGTGAGGCAGGGCCGAGGAGGAGATACTGCTGGGGTAAATGCGGTGCCTTAGTGTAGCTTTCTCCTTCTCAGGGCGCCCCATTGAAGGGTCGATTTTCTTCTTTTCGGGCATCTGGAACGATTCCCTCAAACCCTAGCGAGGGTTGGTGGCTGACCTCATCCCGGGATTAAGCCGCAAGCAAAACCTGATACTCTCCTTTCTGGGTAGATTGGGACCATTGCCCTATCTTGGCCCTTCCCAATGAGAGTCCGGAGGAAGAGGAGAAGTGAGCATTTCAGTGTAGTCATGCACTTATCTCATACTCTCTTGCTTCTACTGTATGTGTTGTTTCCTGAGGCTGAGTGAGTGAATGATTTCTGTTTATATGCTAAGATGCAAGGCACTACAATTAGCAATTAAGCGGTTTTGTTATAACCACATGTTTTTGCGCGTGGTTCTGCCTTAGTTACGGTTTTGCAGTCATTTCTGGATTCACTTAATTTTTAGTTCTACCGCCACCATCCCCATGTCCATTTCATTGATAGGTAGTTTTTTCTCCTCAAACACATTTTGTGTTTGGAAGAAATCTTGGAAGTTTATTTCAGGAATAAGGAAATTGAGGCCAGGAGAGCTATTACTGAGTTCCCGCTATATGAAAGGCATAATGCTAGGTGCTTTGGGAGAGGAAAAGATTAATCAATCATGTAAACGCTTTTTTTTTAGAGAGAGAGAGAGTGAGAGAGAGCATGTGTGGGAGGACCGGGTGGAGCAGAGGGGGAGGGAGTGGGAGGGGGAAAGAATCTCAAGCGGATTCCGCTCTGAACTTTTGCCCTACGCAGGGATCGATCTCACGACCCTGAGATCATGTCAGGTCTCATTTTAGATGTCACCTCTCAGAGAAAGTTTCCCAGAACACAGTATCTGAAGTTGCCCCTTCTCACTATTATTCACTATCTCGTTACCTTCATTGTCAGCATAGTTATTCTGTTAACTTTGCCCCTTTCATGCTGGTTTATAAATTCCAAGTGTCTTGTTCGTAGTTGGATCCCAGAGTTTAGCACAGTGTCTGGTAAGCAGCAAGCCTTTTGGAATATCTACATAAATAATTTATTAGTCTCAGGTTTCAAGCTTAACTAGTCTTAAGTTTTTTGAGCACAGGTGCATACTGTATAAGAAATTATGGGTGTTCAGATTCTAAAGAGATTCCGTGGGGTGCCTGGGTGGCTCAGTCAGTTAGGCAGCCAACTCTTGATTTCCACTCAAGATGATTTCAGGGTCCTGGGATTGAGCCAGACATGGGGCTCCATGCTCAGCAGGGAGTCTGCTTGAGGATTCTCTGCCCCTGCTCACTCTCTCAAACAAACAAATAAATCTTAAAAAAAAAAAAAGGAGAGAGAGAGAGAGGGTGATTCCTTCTCCTTCCTGGATGCTCTCTTAAAATGTGTTTTTTCTTGCCAGAAAAAAAGGACGTTTAAAAAGTTGGCTAAGGGAGGGCGCCTGGGTGGCTCAGTTGGTTAAGCGACTGCCTTCAGCTCAGGTCATGATCCCAGGGTCCTGGGATCGAGTCCCGCATCGGGCTCCCTGCTCTGCAGGGAGCCTGCTTCTCCCTCTCCCACTCCCCCTGCTTGTGTTCCCTCTCTCGCTGTGTCTCTCTCTGTCAAATAAATAAATAAAAATCTTAAAAAAAAAAAAAAAGTTGGCTAAGAGAATGGGGAGTTATTGTTTAATGACTAGAGAATTTCAGTTTGGGATGGTGAAAATATACAGGAGAGGGATGGTAATGATGGTTACACAGCAGTGTGGATGTTTTTAATGCCACTGAACTGTACTCTTAAAAGTGGCTGAAGTGGTCAATTTTGTTATGTATATCTTACCAGAATTTAAAAAAAATCAGCCAAGTGATAGAAGTAGAAGTAACTGGGCGCCTGGGTGGCTCAGTTGGTTGGGCGGCTGCCTTCGGCTCAGGTCATGATCCTGGAGTCCCTGGATCGAGTCCCGTGTCGGGTTCCCTGCTCGGCAGGGAGTCTGCTTCTCCCTCTGACCCTCCCCCCTCTCATGTGCTCTCTCTCTCATTCTCTCTCTCAAATAAATAAATAAAATCTTTAAAAAAAAAAAGTAGAAGTAACTGCTATTAAAATTTTCAGTTTATTACTAAATTGTTTTTATAATTTATAAGTTTTGCAGATTTTAGAGCTATGTTCCTTGTATTTGATTTTTTCCTGTCTTCTCTATTTTCCTTTTTTGGCTATGAAAAATATTGGAAACATTTTGTTTTCCATTGGTCATCTAGCCATCTCCGTACTCACTCTATTTGCACACTTGATTTTTTTATAAAAAGTTTTAGTCATTTATTTGAGAGAGAGAGAGAGTGCATGAGCAGAAGGGCAGGGCAGAGGGAGAAGGAAAATCAGATTCTCTGCTGAGCAGGGAGCCCTATACCCAGGACCCTGGGATCATGACCTGAGCCAAAGGCAGATGCTTAACCGGCTAAGCCACCCAGGCACCCCTGCTTGGGATATCTTTAAAAAGGAGAACATTGAGGGGCGCCTGGGTGGCTCAGTCAGTTGAGTGTCTGCCTTTGGCTCAGGTCATGATCCCGGGGTCCTGGGATCGAGCCCCACATCAGGCTCTCCGCTCAGCGAGGAGCCTGCTTCTCCCTCTCCCACTCCCCCTGCTTGTGTTCCCTCTCTTGCTGTCTCTCTCTTCTCTTTTGAAAAATAAATAAAATCTTTAAAAAGGAAAACATTGAAATACTTAATGTATGAGAGTAACACTCATAGCAGAGTCTGAGTTACGTCCCAGACTATGATATCATAAGGCCACCCTTGTTTGTTATCAGATCCTATTCTTGATAAGCTCACTTTTGTTATGGTTGAACTTCCCATCAGTAACATTCCTAAGGAGTTTGAAAGTTGGCATTTTGTGTATTATATACAGCTTTTCTTTGTTATCATTTTTGGATGCTTTAGTTAAGGCAATTTATTAGGGTTGAGTTCTTTACCCATTAGAATGCTGCTAGAAATTCCCATAGAATATTTGGGGGAAAAAATTCAGGTTAGAGAAAAACACATGTTGAAAAAGTTTATATATACGTACATCCTCCAGGGAATGAGGCCATAGCTTCCCCCCCACCCCGATTTCTGGAGATGTGACTCACCCAGAAAGTGTTAAGAATCGCTGTTTAGAGCATTAATTTATGCGACTAGTAAGCATACTGAGCACACAATATGTAATTAACAAATGTTAATTGTTATTAATTTTGAGCACCTACTGTGTGCAGAGGCATGAGTGGCAAAGAAATGGTGTCAAAGAATTAGGCAAGGGCTGGATCATGCATGATTATTTTTAGGGCATGGCCGATATACATTCATGAAATTAGCTGGGAAGAAGTCCCTTACCCCTGAAGAAGTCCCTTACCCTGAAGAGTGACACAAACTGATTGACATTTAAAAAAAAAAAAATCAGTTCTGGCTACTTTGTGAAGAACAGATTTGGGTAGAAAGGGGAAGAGGTAAGAATAGAAGCAGGGAGAACTGTTGAGAAGCTTCTGAAGTAGTCTGGGAGAGAAGTGATGGTTCCTTGGTTAATTAATTTGGTTTCATGGTGTATTTTGGAGATGGAAACTACTAGATTTACTAATGGATGGTAATGGAAGATTGAAGGAAAGGGAGGCATGAAGGATGGATGACCTCTGGGTTTTGATTTGAGAACTGGGGTTCACGGTGGTGCTATTTCTTGAGATGGAGGTGGTTTTAACGTAATTATTAGACTCAGAAAGGTTTTCACACATGTAAATGGTGAGAGATGTCAAGAGTTATCAGAGCTCTAGCAGAGAAGTTTGTTAAGTAACCTCTTAGCTATACCTCTGAAGTTCTGGGAAAGCTTGGGACTGGAAATATAAATGTGGAGTTATTGACATATAAATGACAGTAATGGCTATGGGGCTAGATGAGATCTCCTTAGGAGGCTTTAGGTAAAGAATGAAGCCAGCCTGCGGTGGGACCTGAGTGGAGGAAAGTAAGGAAGGAGTCGGTGAGGTAGGAGGAAAAACCAGCATAGTGGTTTAACAGAAGCTGGTAGTGGAGTTTTTCTTTTTTCTCTCTCTCTTTTTAAAGATTTATTTATTTGAGAGAGAGAGCATGTGCGAGGGGGGGTACAGAGGGAGAGGGAAAGTGAGAAAATCTCAAGCAGACTCCCTGCTGAGCATGGAGCCTGATGCAGGGCTTGATCTCACAACCCTAAGATCATGACCTGAGCTGAAACCAAGAGTCAGATGCTTAACTGGCTCAGCCACCCAGAGGCCCTGGAAGTGGAGTTTTTCAAGGAGAGTGGTCAGTGTGTAAATGCTGCAAAGAAGTCACAGACAACAGAGAAGTGACCACTGGATTTAGCAACATAGGTCATAGGTGACATTGACCACAGCACTCTCCATGTATGTGGGAGCAGAAGCCTGATTGTGTTGGGTTAAGGAGAGAATGTGAGGTGAGGAAGTGGAGACATCAGGATAGACAACTCAAGAACTTTTGTAATGAAGGAGGAGTAAGGAGGTAATGGGGTCCCAGAAGAGTTTTTTTTCAAAGAAGGGGAATTCTAGAGCAGGCTTGCTTGCTGTTGAGTAGGAGTAGGAGCCAGTAGAGAAGGTAGAAATTGATTGTGCAAGAGAGATTATTCAAGATAATGTCTTTGATAAAGCAAGAGAAAATGACATCCAGAGCTCTACAGGGGAGTTTGTCTTAATTGGGGAAAAGTCTAAGAGTATGAGTGAAGATGCAGGTGGGTTTGTTGATACTTATTTTTCCTAACACCCCACTAAAATATTGCTCCCATTTTAGAGATCAGAGAAGTGAAGTTTGATGACGGAGAATGATTTATTTGTATAAACACCATGCCCCAGCAGTATCAGTGGTTATAGAACTCAGATTTCTGGAGCATGTGGGTGGCTTAGTCAGTTAAGCGTCTGCCTTCAGCTCTGGTCATGATCCTGGAGTCTGCTTCTTCCTCTGCCCCTCACCCTGCTCGCACTCTCTGTCTCTCTTTCAAATAAATAAATAAAATCTTAAAAAAAAAAACCAACCTCAGATTTCTAGACTTCCAAGTGAAGATTCCAGTTTGTTGTGTTCTTTGAGACTGAAATGTTGTAAAATGTAAATTTACGTGTTTTGTGTCTTCTTGGCTCATCTGGGTGTTTTGTTCTAGGGACAGATCTGGAAGCATCTTTGCTAAGTTTTGAAAAACTTGACCGTGCCTCACCAGACCTTTGGCCAGAACAATGTAAGTTTTTGGTTTCTTGATATCAGAATCAATACAGCAGAACCCAGTGCTACTTTGAGAGAGATTTTTGAAGTTATCATTTAACTGTAATGGTTAAAGTTTTGATTTTACTTCACAGGGAAGAGACTGAATTCTGTGGTCTAATGTTAAGAATAGCTGTTTGGTAGTTTAACTCTTTCGGCACACAATGTGACTCAGGAAATGATAGAGAGCCTTTAAAAGAACAGAGATACAGAAAGTAGCAGCTCCTCACCTCCTTCACTCACTGTTATAAACTCACAATTAATAGTTTGGTACAAATCCTTTCGGCCTTTTTTATGATTATATACGTAAACAAATAAATATGTATTTTTATTTTTTTTAAAGATTTTACTTATTTGACAGAGAGAGACACAGCGAGAGAGGGAACACAAGCAGGGGGAGCGGGAGAGGGAGAAGCAGGCTTCCTGCAGAGCGAGGAGCCCGATGCGGGGCTCGATCCCAGGACCCAGGGATCATGACTGAGCTGAAGGCAGACGCCTAACAACTGAGCCACCCACGCACCCCTAAATACGTATTTTTAAAGTACATAGCAGGGTTTTTTGGGTTTGTTTGGGTTTTTGTTTTATTTTTGTTTTTTGGGGGTATAATGATGGGGTCATATGTACATGGTTAAGCTAATGTAGCTTAACTTATTCTACCTAGTAATTTATTAATGGATCTTTCTATGTTAGTAGGTGTAGATCTACTTCATTCTCCTAAAGTATTTGATTATAATAGATAAACTGTTGTTTATGTATTCCTACCCTATTTGGAAACCCAAGATCCACTGTTTGATATTACAAACAACTTAACACGTATCTTTGTGCACAAGGAAGATGATGGCTGTGTGTGAGAGTGCCCATTTACCCACATACTAGCCAATATTGGATGTTTCTAATTTTTTAAAAAGATTTATTTATTTATTTTAGAGGGCGGGGAGGGGCAGAGGGAGAGGGAGAGAGAGAATTTCAGGAAGACTGCACGCTGAGCAGAGTCTGACGGGGGGTGGTGGTGGTGAGGGGGGCTGCTCAGTCTCATGACTCTGAGATCATGATCTGAGCCAAAACCAAGAGTCAGACGCTCAACTGACTGAGCCACCAGGAGCCCCTGGATGTTACTGATTTTTATTATTTTTAGTTCATATTTCTTTATAAGTGAGGTTGAACAGTATTTTATTTTTAAATATCTGCTTTTTATCTTTCTGTTTTCTAATGTGATACTTCCTGTGAGGCATTTAAATAAACAATTATCCAATTGTCAATCCATGACAGGACCGCATACCTAAAAAAGAAATTTAAACTTTCTGGTAAGAGATAGTGTATCTCCCATTCTCTCATCCACCTAACTCCTGTCGTTGCAAGTTCAGTTGAGGCATTTTCTCTAAGAAGCTTTTCCTGCCCCCTCAGTCTGATACAGATTTCTTTATCTTTTTTTTCTTCCCATAACGCCTGGTATCTTTCTTGGAGCACTTAACCAGTATTATAATTACTGAGTTACTCTTTCTCCTCTTCCAGACGATAAGCTCCTTGAAGACAAGGCTGTTTTCTTCTTTTTATTTGGATCCTCTATGTCTGGGGCACTAAAATGTTTATTTAATAAATAATGTGTTTTTTCTTTTCAGTACCAGGTGTCGCTGAATTTGCAGCTTCCTTTAAAAGTGTAAGTAATATTTCACTTACCCAATGAAGTTTATCCAGTGTTTTGCTCCTTAATAAAAGCTCAAATATCTCCTATTTATTTTCAAGAAAAATGTCATAGGCTTCCAATCAGTTTGTAACTACAGCCCTGGAAATCTGTGTACATTATCATCATGTTAATGATAATGTCTTCCTCTGTTCAGATGTTCTGTTTTGGCATTTTGACCTTTGTGTATTAGCCTCTTTTCTCAGCTTGAAAGCTTTTAAGGTAAAGCAGTTGAAATCTTTGATGTAACACCAGTATTCTTTTTTGCCATGATTTTGAAGCTTTTCTCTTTTGTTTATGGGATGCATTATTGACCTTATCTTATACCTCCTTACAGGATTTTGAAATTTCTCAGTGGCTTAACAAAAAGCAAAGGAAGACATCCATTAGAGCCACAACCTTTGTACTTTCAGGGCAGCAGGCACTGTGCTTGATGCTCTCCATATATTCTCTTATATTCCCACAACCGGGAGAATGGGATTATAGTATGAGCTAGCACTTACATAGTGCTTACCACATGCCTGGCACTGTTCTCTGTACTTTATGTATATCATTTAATCTTCACAAAGCCATGTGGGGTATAGATACTATTTATTATCCCAATTTTATAGGTAAGGAAATGGGCACAGAGAGAGAGGTTAAGTAGGTTACCCAAGGTTATAGGCTATAAGTGGCAGAACTAGGCTTTGAATCCACTGATCTGATTACTAGCATCCATACTTTTAACACCATATGCAGAAGCATTTGAGTCCAGTGTTAAAAGCACTAACTGAAAGAGAACCTTGAAAATTACTTGCGCAAGTTCTAGGCAGTGACGGAGCAGGATTTGAATGCAGGTTGTATCTATTACAGAGCTCATGCTCTATCTAGTAAACCATGCCACTGGGGATTTGTAATATAACTCTCACTTTTTAAGTGAAATGTGGTAGTTTTAAAGGTAGTTTAAACTTTGTTTTTAAAGGTAGTTTAAAAATTTTTAAACTTTGTTTTTAAACAAACTGTAGAGGGGCACCTGGGTGGCTCAGTCAGTTAAGCATCTGCCTTTGACTCAGGTCATGATTCTGGAGTCCTGGGATTGAGCCCTGCATCGGGCTCCTTGCTCAGCAGGGAGCCTGCTTCTCCCTCTCCTGCTCCCCCTGCTTGTGCGTGCTCTCTCTGTCAAATAAATAAATAAAATCTTTAAAAAATAAACTGTAGTACTCTTCATTGTCTGTATAGGGAAGAGCCACTGCAACAATGAAAGTTCAAGAATCTTCTGTACCTTGCTATGTGCTTAGTATTCTCTACTTATTATTAGAGTTATAGGTACTGAGTTAAATATTAAGGCCCCCCCCCAGGAGCATCTGGGCAGCTCAGTCAGTTGAGCGTCTGACTCTTGATTTTGTCTCAGGTCATGATCTTGGGGTCATGGGTTCAAGCCCTGCATCGGGCTACTCATTGTACTTGTCCCTCTCGCTCTGCTTCTCCCCCTGCTCATTCTCTCTCTCTCTCAAATAAATAAATAAAATGTTTAAAAAATAAACAAATAAATAAAATTAAAATATATTAAGGTCCTGTGGCTTTCTGGTTCCTTGAGAGTATCTGTTCAGAGGTAGTTTAGATTTTGTAGCCTCCCATTTATTCAAGAGCTAGGGTTATATGAAAGCTGGCCTGTGCTCATTTAACATTCAGTAAGGCCTAAGCCTGAGAGTTCAGGATGGTATAGGGTTTTGGACTCAGACACACTTGGATTTGAGTCCTGAATCTGCTACTTCACGGTCTGTGACCTGAGCAAGTTTCCTAACATTTTTGAGCCTTAGTGTTCTCATCTGAAACTACCTCATAGGATTCTTAGTGTAAAATGCCATCATGCATATAAAACACTTTGCATAGTGCCTAGGACATAATAAACAGTACTTCGTAGCTATTAGTATTAGATCAGCTTTTGTCTAGTAGGTTGAGTATAAAGTACCTAACTTAATTTTCTTACATTCTCATTTATACTTACTTTTCAGTTTAGTTAATTATATTTGGTAACAACTAAATATTTTGAGTTGTAAATACAAATAAGCGGTTTAAAAAAAAACACTTTTATTAAAATATGTTGTTTTTTGAAAATCTGATTATGTATCTACCCCTTTTCCCTAGAAGTATGCACATTCATAATAAGTTTTGTTTCTAGGTCATCCCAGGACCCCAGGTTAAAAATCCCGTGGTATAGGGGCGCCTGGGTGGCTCAGTTGGTTAAGCGACTGCCTTCGGCTCAGGTCATGATCCTGGAGTCCCTGGATCGAGTCCCGCATCGGGCTCCCTGCTCAGCAGGGAGTCTGCTTCTCCCTCTGGCCCTCTCTCTGTGCTCTCTCTCTCATTCTCTCTGTCTCAAATAAATAAAATCTTTAAAAAAAAAACAACTAAACATATGTAATGGTTGTAGCTTGGGATGTGTGCTGTGAGGCTAGACCTGTGAACACTGCAGTGGGTGTTCATTGAGCTTCACGTTGTCTTGTTCGTGTGTATAGTGACAGCATTCTGCTGCCATTCTTACCTGTGGAAAAGGAGGGGGGTCCACTGGTATGAGAAGTGTTTGGATCTTTTTAAATTAAGTGTTGTAGTTTTCAACTTTGTTTTTTTTTTTTTTTTAAAGATTTTATTTATTTATTTGAGACAGAATGAGAGACAGAGAGCATGAGAGGGAGGAGGGTCAGAGGGAGAAGCAGACTCCCTGCCGAGCAGGGAGCCCGATGCGGGACTCGATCCCGGGACTCCAGGATCATGACCTGAGCCGAAGGCAGTCGCTTAACCAACTGAGCCACCCAGGTGCCCTCAACTTTGTTTTTAAACGAACTGTAGAACTCCTCGTCTGTAAAGCAAAGAGCCCCTGCAACAGTGAAATTTCAAGAACCTGTACTAAACACAATTTGCAATGTTCTGTTACCTTTTTTGTATGTTTAGGATACTAAAGTGTTTTTGAAGTTAAATGGACGGTATTACGATGGTGTTACATTAAAAAAAATACATATGTAATATCCGTTGCTCTGTTCTCTCCACTGAACCCTCATTCCACCTCCAGTATTCTTAATCAGTGCATCTGGAGTGTGGCCAGGTCATCTGTATTTTTTTGTTCCATAGATGATTCTCATGTGCAAGTAGGATTGAAAACTGTTGACCAAAGTTATTCCAAAAATGGGCTCTCTTTCATATTTTATAAGTTTACTTTTGAGAAATGAGAGGATAACTTAAAATTCTAGTTTTCTAGTGTCTACAATAAAATGAAATCTGAAGTGATGATCACAGTCTTCTCTCACAAATTGAGGATTTCCTCTTTTTAAAAATTTTAATTAAAGTATAGTTGACATATAATAGTTTCAGGTGTATAACGTAGTGAATCAACAATTATATATATTATGTTATTATTGGCTATATTCCCCATGCTGTACTTTTAATTTCTGTGACTTATTTACTTTATAACTGCAAGTTTGTACCTCTTAATCCCTCTCACTATTTTGCCCATCCCCCCAACACAACCACCAGTTTGTTCTCTGTATTCATGAGTCTCTTTCTGTTTTTTATTTGCTCATTTGTTTTGTTTTCAGATTCACATATAAGTGAAATCATATGCTATTTGTCTTTCTTTGTCTGACTTATTTTCACTTAACATAATACCCTCTAGGTCCATTCATGTTGTCACAAATGGCAGGATTTCATTTTTTTTTTTTAAGATTTTATTTATCTTAGAGATAGTGAATGCGAGTGGGGGGAGGGGCAGAGGGAGAGACTTCAAGCCGACTCCCTGCTGAGCACGGAGCCTGACAGTGGGCTCAATCCCAAGATCATGACCTGAGCCAAAGCTAAGAGCTGGCTGCTCAACCGACTGAACCACCCAGGCGCCCCAAGATTTCATTCTTTTTTTTTTTTTTTTTAAGATTTTATTTGTTTGACAGAGAGAGACACAGCGAGAGAGGGAACACAAGCAGGGAGAGTGGGAGAGGGAGAAGCAGGCCTCCCACGGAGCAGGGAGCCCGATGCGGGACTCGATCCCAGGACCCTGGGATCATGACCTGAGCTGAAGGCAGACGCTTAATGACTGAGCCACCCAGGCACCCGATTTCATTCTTTTTAATGGTTGGGTAATATTCCTGTGTGTGTGTGTGTGTGTGTGTGTGGAGAGAGAGAGAGAGAGAGAGAGAGAGACATCGTTCTATGAATCTTCTCCTCTGCCAGAGAATGTTACTTCCTGATTGTCTCAAACAGTTCAGTTGGAGGCTTTTATCAGAACTGAATTTCAAGTAATTTCTTTCATTGCTTTACTAACCTCTTATCCATGAAATAGTAATAATAGACCTTTCTTCTAAGATCATTTCTTTGAGACCAGCTGTAAAAATGAGTGGAATTATTTTGCGAGGTGACCATAGGTCATATCTGAACCTAGAGAAATCTGGGTTTTTGAAACTATAATTTGCCAGTATTTTCAAACACCTGAAGTCTGTGTGACAAGCTACTTTTCTATAAGAAGGAAGATTACAGTTTCTTTACGTTTTGTATGTATCTGAGTGGATATATTCTTATATTCTGACAGCCTATTACTAGTTCTCCACCCAAATGGATGGCTGAAATAGAACGTGATGACATTGACATGTTGAAAGGTAAGCAATGCTGGTAACCTCTGACTTTTAACCTGACATTTATGTTCCTCTACAAACCACCTTTCCACTCTCTCACTGTGCCCTTATAAGTATTTGCTGCAGTCAGACCGTCTACTTAACCAAGCTGATTTCATGGTTCTTCATGTCTGAATGCTTATCTTTACTTTTCCATATGTATAAATCCCTTCAATTCAGGACCCACTCAGAATGATTTCTTCTGCTGCTAAATTCCTTTAATATTAACTTTATTTTGTGTAATGCTATAGTCGACAAAAGCTCTCACATAAATTTTTCCCATTTAATTCTCGTAAAGGTCATGTGAGTTAGGTATGATGATATCCAAGGTTCAGAGTTTAACTTAACCAAGATTTATTAGAAAGAGTTAAAATTTAAACTGATCTTTTAAGTCTAGTCTCTTACCAGTCTTACACAAGTGCCTTATTTAGAATTTACTGCTATATATTGTTGTCAGTACTATTAATTGATAACCCCTTAGTGGGTTAAGACCTGTCTTTTAGTTCTTTCTATCCCATCAATTTCTCCCATAAAGAATACTATAAGTAGTGAATATTGTTGTTTGATAAATGACTTGGAACTCAACCACAAAGTAGTAATTTAAATTAAAAAACATTAATTTTCCTTGATTTTGCTCTACTTTATTTAATTTTTATCATCTTTCTGGTATTAAGATTCATGATGGTTGAAGTAATAGACTGAAATTAAGGTAAAAATCTGGCATTCTTGAGCTGTTTAAGCAGCTGAACAGATCACGAAAGTCTCCTTATGCCAGATATGGATAATGAGTGTGGCATGATAAGTGGGAGAAAACAACACCTTTATTTGATTTCAGAAGTAATTTATTGTTCTGCATGAAATGCTTAAATGCAGATCCCCTCCTCCAACCATGGAAAAATTAAGTCTCAAGGGCATCTCAGGTTCATTGTTATAATGTTCCAAATGGACATTTATATAACGTCTCATCAGTATGTATTTTCTAAGGAAACTTTAGATTTCTAATAAGGGATCATAGCATTATGTTCCATACAAATTGACCTGTGCCTTAAACATAAGTTCATCTGAAGCATTTTGTAACAGTAGGAAAAATTCACTGGGTGTGTGTGTGTGTGTGTGTGTGTGTAAGTGTAAGAGGAATGATTGGGTGAGAAGAGATATGAATCCATTTTCTACTTATTAGATAAGAATTAAGCTTGAAAACTTCTATAACAAGGATTTCCAACCTGAATGGATTGTTAACTAGAGAACAGTAGAAAGATATGGTATTGAAATAAATGATTCTGTTTCAGAACTGGGGAGCCTCACCACAGCTAATTTAATGGAGAAGGTACGAGGCCTACAGAACTTGGCCTATCAGCTGGGGCTGGATGAGTGTGAGTACCCAGATCACATTTATTCAGGGTTGCATGTTGTATATTTCATGATGAGTGCTAGCTGTAATTCAAAGTATCTTTATTAAGTGTTGTGAAGGTAAGAAGTCACTGTAATCTAGAGTTCCTTTTATGATGTAGTATACTGGAATAATTAACTGAGTTTACTCAGTAACAAGTTATTTTTCTCTGTATAGTTAGTATATTGGAAACCCTTTCAGTTTAAAGCAATAGAATGTCAAATCAAAGTAGCTTAAGGAAAAGAGGGACCTTATTAGTTTGCATAAATCAAAATTTCAGGAGTAGAAATAGTTTGAGGGTATCTAGATGTTTGACTTTTAATGATGTCATTGGGATGTGCTCTTGTTTTTGCTTTTGTTTTGCATCTCAAGGCTCTTGCATTAGTCTTATTCTTGGAACTAGCACTGGGAAAGGTGGCCAAAAGGAGCTTCAGTTAATGTGTCTTTAAATCTCATAATCCCAAAATAAAGGATGTCTTTTCTGAACATTCCAAAAGCAAGATCCTAGGGAGGACTCAGACTGTACCATCTTGACTCAAATACCTATCTTAGAACCAGTCCTTTAGCCAGTTAGCATGGAGTACCCTGGTGGGCCAAGCTGGGTCCAGGATGCAGACACAGATTAGAGGGGTTAGTCTGATTCAAATCCCATGGAATGGGAGGGAGGATTGGTTCCCCAAAGGAAGGACCATATAGCAGGCCAAGAATATAGTCTACTGTCATGACTAATATTTTAAAACTTCTCATTTGTTCCTGTTGCTCTCCGTTCTTTTAATATACATTTGTTTCTTTATAGATTATATTTCTTCCCATACTGTATTCATTATAAAACTGGGAAAGGAATTGTGGAAATTCTCACTTTGTAATTGAAAGAGAAACTCAACATAAATACAGTTGTTAGAACTTTGTTCTCAATGGGTACTTCCTGACACCTTCATGAATCCACAATTGTGAGAGGCAATAATAGCTTATAATTTCTTCAAACATGCAAGTTTTGCACTGATTAGAACAATTCCAAAAACAGTTTCATTAATTGTTTTATTTATAGAGCATATAGAGGATTTGTTTACATTGTTGATTTAAATTACTGCCAAATTCAATATTTCACTTTAAAATTTCATTTAAAACTTAATTTTTGACTAATAGTCATCACTTCCTTAGGCCTCCTTATCTTTTTCTATATTTTCATCACTGTCATTAACAGTTGGCTTCTTTTACCAAGAAAATATTTTTTAATCACTTCATGAATCAAGGAGCAGGAAACAACAGACTATGGTTGCTAGGTGGACTACTAGGTTCACTCATTGTTTCCTAACTCTCCTCTGTGTTACTGGTCATTTATTTCTCATGATTAAAATTTATGTGTTGGCAAAATTAATATTTACCATGTATGTCATGGACCCCCAGGTTTTATAATGGAAAGGCAAATCTGTGATTATTAAATTCATGAATGCTAGGTTGGTATAATATAGAAGTTGATTCTTTTACTAGCTCTGGATAGTAAATGCTGTAATAATCAATAATCCTTTATCTCTCTGTCAGTTTTTTTTTTTTTAAGATTTTTTTTTTTTTAAAGATTTTATTTATTTATTTGAGAGAGAGAGAATGAGAGACAGAGAGCATGAGAGGGAGGAGGGTCAGAGGGAGAAGCAGACTCCCCGCCGAGCAGGTAGCCCGATGCGGGACTCGATCCAGGGACTCCAGGATCATGACCTGAGCCGAAGGCAGTCGCCTAACCTACTGAGCCACCCAGGCGCCCCTTTTTTAAAGATTTTATTTATTTATTTGACAAAGAGAGATACAGCGAGAGAAGGAACACAAGCAGGGGGAGTGGGAGAGGGAGAAGCAGGCTTCCCGCTGAGTGGGAAGCCCGATGTGGGGCTCGATCCCAGGACCCTGGGATCATGACCTGAGCCGAAGGCAGACGCTTAACGACTGAGCCACCCAGGCGCCCCCTGTCAGTTTTTTTTAATGAAATAAATTTTATGCTCATTATATCAAGAAGATGCTGAATTGCCAAATGTATTTATCAACAGTATTATCTCTAGTTAGTTGTAGTTGAAATTGCTGTATTTCCTCTGATTAGTCTTTCTTTTTCTGCTTTCCTACTGAGAAAGATAAAAATTTTCCCCCATTTTTTATTATGGAGAATTTTAAACACATACCAAAGTGGGAGAATAGAACAATGACCTCATGAAGCCATGACCCAGCTTCAGTAGTCAACATACAGCCAATCTCTTTCACTTATATAACCTCCCATAATTATTTTATTTATTTATTTATTTATTTTTTAAAGATTTTATTTATTTATTTGACAGAGAGAGAGGAGAGCAGGAGCACAAGCAGAGGGAGTGGGAGAGGGAGAAGCAGGCTTCCCGCTGAGCAGGGAGCCCGACGTGGGGCTCGATCCTAGGACCCCAGGACCATGATCTGAGCCGAAGGCAGACGCTTGATGACTGAGCCACCCAGGCGCCCCCTCCCATAATTATTTTAAAGCAAATCTTAGATATCATATTACCTCATCGCCTAATAATTCCATGCATTTCCAAAAGACAAGATCTGTCTCCTTCCTTCACCTTTTAAAAAATAACCACAATTCCATTATTATGCCTAAAATTTTTTAACAAACTTGCGTAATATCGTCCAGTAGCTAATGAGGATTTGGATTTCCCTGGTTGACTTATAATTGTCTTTATACAGTTGGTTTATTAGAATCAGGTCCTAAGTAAGGTTCATACACTGTATTTGATTGATGTCTCTTAAGTGTCTCTTCATCTGTCATAGTTCCACCTCCCTTTTATTTTCCCTTGCTGTTTATTAAACCTAGTTATTTGTTCTGTAGAATTTTCCACATTCTGGATTTTGCTGTTTACATTTCTATGGTAGTGCTTAATATGTTCACTTATCCCTTTTTATTTCCTTGTAGTTAGATCTAGAAGCTTGCACAGATACAGCTTGACTTTTTTATTTTGTTTTTGGCCATTTCCTGAATGGTATTGTATACATCCATCAGAAGGTACATCATGTTTGCCTATCTCTCTTTGTGATGTTAAAATTAATTAGTTGATGAAGGCATTGTTAGCCTGATTATTCATTGTAAAATTCTCCATCAGCCTTACACGAGAGTTTTAGCAGCCTTTGGTAACTGCCTAGATCCCCTGTTTTATTACAGGTTGCCAGATGGTAATACTCTAATTCTGTCATTTTTTATCATTACATAGAATTTTTCTATAAAGGACTTTTCTTATCAACTATTTATTATTACCTTGAAAGCTGTTTCTACAGGATAAATGAATCTTTTTCTTTATCAGTTTTTAGAATAAAGAGTTCCCCTAAACATCAGTAAAGTTTATTTTAATGGCTTTCCACAGAATCAGAAACTTGGTTTGTTTTAGTTTTTAATTCACACAGTTAAAAACATTACTATTAAGCGTTTGTATTTCTAAAACTTAAGATATTGTAGGTGGGGATTTGCAGTCACCTAACTCAGCCACCTTAAGCACTGAACCAAAATTCTGCAACAGAAATGCTCATTTCTGCCATATGAGCGCCATGAGCACAGCTAAGATCTTTCAAAATTATTTTCTGGTTCAAAATTCAGCCTTATTTCAATTTCTGTGGCAATGCTTTGCAACTTACTGTCATTTTTCCCTGATTACAGCAAATTAACTGACATATAGAAAATAGTTTTAGCTAATAGAATTGGAAAGATTTATATTGATATGTATTGGACTTCTTGGGTACAGTCTCTCTTTGTTTTATTGTATATAGTGTATTTGCATAAAAACAAGATCTTTTTTTTGTCCTTACAGATTATTCATCTACTCTAGGGGTTGACATTTACTTGACACCCTAATCTGGTGTTTCGATGTCTCAATCCTCTTTCCTGCATTAATTGAGAGGATGACATGGATGAAAAATAAGCAATAGGAACTGATGAATCCCCAAGGACCAGTGATCCTGTTTTCATGCAAATATCTGCACTGATAAAGATGATGGAAAGAAAAGAAATGCAAAAAATATTTGTCCTCAAAACATGATTGTTTGTCACTTCCCTAGAGCATTGTTATATGTTAGTATAGAAATAATGTGTACCTTCTAGGGCTGATAGTAACTAGATTGTGTCTTTTGGAAGATGAATCATGCCCTTTGATTTGGTACGTGATTATGTGTCAGATAACCCTTTTGGGATTTTGAAGTGCAGTAATTTTTTGTATAGGCGTTTAAAGCTTGTCATGATTGGGGACCCTTGGCTTGATTTGAGCACTTAATTAATATGAAATTCTCATGAAATACATAGAAATATGAAAAATTGTAAACTGCCTTACCATATAAAGAATTTCATTTCATTCTTTCTGAGTTCAGTGTCCTTCCTGTTTCTGGAACTATTGCAGTCACTTACTAGTCTCCCTGCCTCTCAACCACCCCATTCCAGGCCATCTTGTTTACCCTTCTCAGGTTAATTTTTCTAAACTATCATTTGCTTCTTTTGTCCTTTGCTCATAAGTCATTATTAGTACTTTACTGACCATGTGATCAAATTCATATTCTAGCATGGCATTCAAAATCCTCTTCACTCTGGCCCTAGCTTATTGACTAGTTTTCTTCCTTACTTCTCCCCTACCAAAACACCATGTACCATTCCCATTTGAAATACTCATTCTTCCTGTAACACTTGCCCATCTTCTTAAGTCTATCCATGCTATTCCTTTTTCTCAGAAAGCTCTCCCTGACCTATTTCTAGTATTAGAACTTCTATTAATCCTTCACTGTTTAGTCCCAGATTTCATCAGCCTTTCCTTTTCATTCCTTATCTGGAAAGTGAACTCTCCTGGCCTCTCAAATTGCTCCTAGAGCAGTTCATTTGTTTCATTTGTGTGGCACTTTTACCATTCTGGGAGATTTTGGTACATGTCTTATCCCTTGATTGATTGTAACTCTTTCAGGTAAGAATTATACTTTGGGCTGTCTTTCTAATCCATA